TCCCCCAGCCCGGCATCCAAGCGGCCCACAACCGGCTCTATTCTCCCTTCTCCACCTTTACTGCACACTGGAGTCCTCCACAAAAATCTGTTTGGAACCAATGAGCACATGAGGGCAGGGACAAGTCTGTCTTGCCATTAGACGGGCCTCCGAGTGCCCAGAACAGAGCCAGGAACATAGTGGCTTATTCACAGCCGCATCTGCTGAATGAACTTAATCAGCTCCTGAAGGCTGCAAATGCAACCTGGCCTCAGGGAACACAGCTAATCATCCTCTAGATTTTTTAACTGGGATCCTTAAGGTAGGTTACTAACAGTTTAGAACAGGATGAACAACTAAGGGCTCCAGAGGGTTTCAGGATTTATGTGTTAGAGGCTCTAAGGCTTCTGTTTCCCTCTTTACTTGAAAAAAAAAAATCCATCAGTAAGACAATTATTTAAGTATTTTCTTCCTTTAACCCAGAACAGACTAAGAGCCTCCAAATGAGCACACAGGAAGCATGGGAAGGGTCATGCAGAGGTGTGTCTGTGATTTAGATGGTTTATTGTGGTTTTGACCATTACACAGCTTTTTAACTGACTTTGCTCTTAGTTATGTATGTATGATTTCATTTACACCCACAGTGACCGAGACTAAAGACAGGCTTAAGAGATGCCAATGGCAAAATATGAGTTAGTGAGAAGTGATAAATACGAGAAGTGAGAATCATCATAGAAAGAGCAGTTCTGCAAACTGTCCGAAGATGCTCTTTATTAGTGGCTCAAGTTGTTTTCATCTTATCTCAGTTCTGCCTCTATTATTTCAAAACCAGTATAATTCAGATCCCAAACATTAATATAATTTTTAACAATGAACTGATCTGAATAAAATCATTTTTAATTGAAAATCCCTTCCAGAGGGCTTTTACAATTCGGTATTACTACAAAAGGAGCCTGCCAGGTAACAAAGCCTGGGGAGTGCTGATTTAGAGAACGGCCTATGAGAAGCTCTGTTAAGCCTTTCCTAAGTCAGCAAAGCCCCAGAAGTGGGGGACGGAGGCATAGCAGAAGCTGTGTGCCTCGCAGAGCAAAACCCATAAACATCTTCCAAGAAACTTTAAGTATTCGATGTAACTTGGAATTCTAAAGAGATATCCAAATCGTACCCTAAAAGACCAGATGGGGTCTGACAATAAGCACTGGATTGCCTTAAAATATCAAGATCAGAAGGCTATGTGTCCTAATTTGGCATCACATTTGAATAGGCATTCTGGTAGTGTCTGAATAGAGTTTAAAAGGCTATAAAAAAAGGTCCCTGAGTAAGAAGCTGGAGCTCAGTAAACCAAGCCACAAAACGAACTTCAAAACCATCTGGGCTCTGACAAGATGCTGGTTGCCATGCATACACCTTATAAAACAGAAGACCTCAGAATCGGATAGATCAAAGTCTCTATGAAAGCAGAGGCTGTCTGGTTCATCATACCTCCAGCAAGTGTCTGGCACATAGTAGGGGCTTGCACATTTCTGTTGAGTGAATGAGGATTGGTGAACAAATAAACTGTGCAGGAATGCAGTTTCCACAAGTCAAAAGTTCAAGGAGAGATCCATTTTCAGTAAAGACCTTAAACATGTAATATCTTTTCCACAGATTTTTTTTAAATGGCCTGTTATGCCTTGAATATTACTAAAATTACCTTTTGTTTCTCAAGAACAAAATGCACCAAATGGGGGGTAAGTGGCAATTCAGATGAACCACATAGAAAAATATCTTAAAAGGAGAAAATTGGATTAAGTGCTACACATGACAGCATACTGACCAGCAAAAATCGGATATGCATATTGGATAACAACTCTCTCCAAAACTCGGTTTCCTCTGGTTTCTATTTCAGCTCGGTAAGCATTTTTTCAGTCTGTTGACTATAAAAGTTTCCCTCATGAAGCCATGAACTTATGTATTTCCCCTGTCTTCTTAGTGCTCCCAAACTTCCCCACAATTCACCTGTGTGGCTTTTTATCAGAAATTCCTTGTTTGAAAAATCCTTCCCTTTGCTCCCTCCCAGTGCTGAAAGCATCCTCTCCCTAAATACTGTCCTGCCTGATTTTTATGGAAGTTTCATTTCCTTACAGCAGAGGCCTGGTCTATTTCCTGAAGTCAAATCTACTATGCTCCATCAAAGTGAAAAGTAAATCATTCAAACCACAGTCAGGAACACAATTACCCATCCACCTGCACCCTTTCTGCCCGTTGCTGCCCGTTGCTCTTCCCAACAGGCCTTTCTGTGGTGACCTCATGTTCCCTTCATACTTGCATCTCTATTTTCTAATCCAAATAATTTTTCCCTCCCAACTCCATAAATTCTAAATCACATGTAAACTAAAGTTTCTTGCTATACATTCTGTTTCCCAAGGCTAAACAACCTTGATAACTGAAAGGAACTACAGACAGAAATTAGCTGACTTACAATAGTAACACCTTAACGTGTTTAATCCTTTGGATATATGTCGCCAGGGAGCCAATAGATGGAAGAAGGGATATGCTTTACAAATGCTTCATAAAGATTATTTCATTTGATCTTTGTAACAGCCTTGGGAGGCAGGCAGGGCAAGTGTTCATTACCCTCTTTACAGACGAGGAAACTAAACGTCAAACAGGTTAAGTGCCTTGCCCAACCAATGTCACATGACTAGCAAGCGTCAGCCCAAACCTGTGTTAAGGTTTGGCCTCTTTCAAACCACAAGCTGTCTACTATATACTCTCTCTGTATGTTTCTGTCCTACAGTCAAGGAGTAACTTCCTAGAGATTCACCATTTCAGAGGACAGCCCTCTGTCCTTTGAGACACCATCTCACCTTCAGCTAACAGGATGGAAAGCACCTTCGAGCTTCCCAATAGAAAACAATGCCCTTTTCTTCCACATACCACCCTTAAGAAAGACTTCTTGACAAAATAATTTCCAACAGTTCCTGTTTTAAAGGGACTTACTCATAAGGCACTGATAACACAGACAGTTTATATTGGTATATGATTTTCTCAGTAAAGTTCACGGATGATGCAACATTTCTCAGTCTCCGATTTTACAGCTAAAATGACAAGAATACAGAACAGTCAAAAATTACTCAAGACAATGCCACATTTTTTACTCCATCACATCTGCCTCTATGGGTCTCCTGTGAGTCACTGTCTTTTGTGTTCAGTCTTCATTATAGGAATTGCCATGCTCTACCTTAAATTATTTTACTTTATTTCTTACAGAAAAGCTCTGCAACAAAAATGGAATCATTACATCTTTCACTACCTGGCTGAAGCACCCACCCCTTCACTTAGCACCCCAGATGCCACACTGTTCTAATTTTCACCACTACCATTTTACGCAAACAGAAAGAGAGTCAAAGTAAGGTTGCAATTCATTTATTTATTCATCCAACACACTTATGAAATCCTCTCAGACACCAGGGACTGGGACCCAAAGATGAACAAGAAGTGTCCCTCCTCTCACAGCCTGGAGGAAACGAATAAACCGAACAAGATTAAGCTGGAGATGAGCACATGGCTTGGGACAGTGACCATCATGGCATGCTTCCTGGAAGTAGCGGTCTGTGAGCATTTATAAACATCTCTCTCTTTACTTTGAGCACAAAATAAACCTAAGGACTCAAGCCCGCTCCCTGAAAGGTTATGAGATTTACTTTCCAACAGTCAAGTTAAAAATCTAATTTTATAGCAGAATTTAATCTTGACTCTCTGTTCTAAATTTCAACACCTGAGCCCACAATTCCTTACGCACAAATTAGAGGCTTAACAAATTCTGTCCTGTACAGCGCCCTCTTACAAGTCTGTAGAGCAGAATTAAAGATGGGCACAACAAAAAATGCACTTCGGAAAAACAGAATCATTGTCCTAACTGGAAATGAACACTTCGAACAATCCAAGCCCTTACAAAGCATGGCTGTCGGAAGAGGAAACTGAGGTTCAAAAAGTCCCACTTTAATACAACAGAGTAAAAGGTCTCTTTGAAGTCACCAGAACAGCTTGAACAACAACAAAAACAAAACAGAAGGCTATTGTGGGGCTTCAGCCTCCAGATGATGAACCCCAAACACACAGCATGGGAAACAAACAAGCCTCTGGGCCGGAATCTGATTTGGTGATCTAACAAAACATTTCACTTTGAGGAATCTCCCTTCCCATTCATTATTTCCCAAAGTCAGTCCCACTGGCTGGCAGCTCCTGTTTTTGGGGGGATTTTTGCTAGTTCGTGGGTTTATTGCTTGTAAAGTATAATGCATAGTGTGCTTTTCAAAAAAAAGGCAGAGGCAAACGAAAACAAGCCCGGTTTTAAAGCCCCATAAAAGACAGTACATGTAACAGAAATGAGCTCTGCCTGTGTTTACTGTGAGGACCTATTACTCCTTTATGCTACTCCAGTGGATTTTAAACTCAAATGAATGCCACCACTGCCCACTAAAGAGCAGGTTAGAGGAGGGAAGGAGCACATTCACACACCTGTCTCAGCACGACCCCAGTGCCTCCCTCACCGTTTATGTCCTCATCGGGTACTTCCCCGAGGCTCCGCCGAGCAGCCGACCTGGAAATGGGGCTGCAGACCCCAGCCCCCTTCGCTCTGCAATCCCAACAAGCAGGCCTTAGAGTCTTCCTTCCATCTGGCCCGGCACACCCTCCTCCCTACCACTCCGATCCCCACCAGAAAGGAGGGAAACTCCTCGGCCCCGACGAGGGGGAGAAGGGGGCGGCACGGGTAAGAAGAGGACGCGAGGGTCCCTTACTCCCCCGGCCGAGGTGGGCCCAGGAATCCCCCGCCTCCCCGGGTCGCGGTCCTAGGCCCGGGGGGCTGCGGCCGCCACCCTCGGCCCGTCCAGACCCCAGCGCTCGCCTGGGCCCCCGCCCCTATGGGCCCGGGCCGCCGCCTGCGGTCCCGCCCCAGCGCCCAGCCCGGCTCGCCACCCTCAGCCTCTCGCGGCCCGCGGCCGTCCCGCGCCGCCCGCCCGCCCGGGGCCGCGCACCGTGTGGGACTGCAGGCTCTGGCTCGCCTCGATGGCTGCTGTCAGCGGCACCGTGTCGTCCAGCAGCACCTTGCCGGCCGCCGGCTTCTCCATGAAGGCCATCCCGGGACGCCCGTCCGCACCGCCGCGAGACCAGGGGCAGGAACCCGAGGCGCCGACTCCCGCCGCCCGCCGGGCTCCGCCGCCGCCGCTGTCAACACGCGCCGCCCCCACGCGCCGCCGCCGCCCGCCGGGCCCGCGGGGTCCTAGCGCCGCGGGCAGCCGCCTCCGCCGCTGTCAACACCCTCCACCCTGCGAGCCGCCACCTCCCCGCGGGGTCCTAGCGCCACCTCGTCTGTCATCGTTGCCTGGAACAGCGCTTCCAAGCTCCTCACGGTCGCGCCGCAGACCCGGTACCCTTAGCACCGGGCTTCAGCCCCGGCGACACTTCACCCTAGGCCTTCACCTCCACAGATCCTCAGACCTGAATATCCTAAGCCCTGCGATCCAGGAACCCGCAGGTGCAGATTCCCAAACCAAGCCTATGTTGGGCTTTTCGCATTAGGCCCTCAGCAGCGGGGGCTAACTTGAGACCTTTACAAGTGGACCTTTCCCCACCGGGCTTCCCGGACACAAGGACCCCAAGACCCAGAAAAGGGATCTTCAGAATGGAAACTTCATTCTGAGTCCTGCAGACCCAGAAACTTCCCCAAACAGGCCCCTCATTCAGGTTTTACGGGAATCCTTGAACCTGGCTTTTCAGACTTAAAAACGAAAGAGCTCGGCCTTTGGAATTGGACCCCACAGTTGGAGTCCTTGGACTAAAGAACCCTCAGACCCAAGCTTTTTGAACGGAGGACTCTAAAAACTGGGCCTTGGTCCAGGTACGCCCAGCTTTTAGCTCAACCTTCAACGCCAGGAACACTCAACCAAGATCCCTCAGACTTGGGGTCCTCAGTCCCACTACACTGGCTCCAAGAAGCTCACACCCAGAGCCAGAGAACTTTGTGATCAACTTTCCAGCCCCAAATTTGCCCCCCAGGCTGCCTAAACCCAAGGCCAAAATCCTGCCACTCCCCAGGTCTCCTCCCCCAACTCCCACAGAAATCCCAGCATACTGCTACCTCCCAGGGCAGCAGCACTCCAGGGACAGGGAAGGGTTAGTTTTGGAATTAGATGACCAGGATCTCCCGGGCTCTGGCATAGCTGTGTGACCTTGAGTAAGTTACCCAATCTCTCTGGGCCCCCACTCCCCATCTGCAAAATGGTGAAAATAATATCTGTATGGGTAGGTTAGTATGAGGAATGCAGTAGGATGGGAAGGGGCTTGGCACTTAATAAAAGCTCTGACAATATTAGTTTCTTCCTTCCTCCACAGTTCACAGAATAGAGAGAGGGTTTCTCTTACATTTGTCTCCCCTAAGTTTCTACATTAAAGACAAGAGCTGAGTTTCTTGGTATTGCCATCACTACCAAATTTGACATCACAGCAAAGACCTAGACAACAGCTAAAGGGTACCCTCTCCAGATCTCAAACTTAATGAGACTTTTGGGTAATCCCAAGTGGCCAAGTAGCCATGACAGACTGACATAGGGGCCACTACCCAATGGAGAGATATGTGAAGATGAAAACACGGAACTTCATGATTCAGTCCTAAAATAATCAGAACTCTTCCTGCATTCCATTTCTACTCCCGGTGTGTTTAACAGCGGCAGTCTATTAAAAACAAGACAGTGTATCATTTAGTGTGGATTCAACCTTTTACTTCCATTTCTTTAAGGTAAATGGATTACTTCATTGCCAATCACAGAAACCAAAATTCTGCTTTAGTCATTATTCCTGTCATCATGTGGACTGACCAAAACAAGGCCCTTCTCACCTACTACTGGTGGGAGGATAATTTGGTCTGACCTTTCCGAGAAGCATTTATTCATTCATCAATTATTTACTGAGTACTTACCAATGCAATAGGACTGGTGCTGGGAGCTGGGATTTGACAATACGTTTATCAAGGGCTTTGAAAATGTTTTCACCCAGCAATTTCACCTCTAAGAGGGTATCCTAAGGAAATAATCATAGATCAGTGCAAACACACAGCAAACAAGGATATTTAGCAATAGGGAATTGGACAAATCATGGTACAGTTATAAATAAAACATTTTGCAGTGATTAAAAATCAGATTATCAAAGCACATTTAATCATGTTGGGAAATGTTCTTGATACGAATAGTGGAAAAAAAGCAATATATGCATTTGTATGATCCCAAGTTTTGAAAATGTATTTGTAGGAAAAACACCAGAAGGAAAACACCAAAATATTAACTGTGGGTCTCTGGGTGGAGTGATCATGATACTTTCTGTTTTTATGCTTTTTCTGTTTTTCAAACTGTCTCTAATGAAAACTGTATCGTATGAGTCGAAAAAAGTAATGTCATTAATGTCATACAACTGAGCTGCAAAGGCCATAAAATAACAACCTTGTCTGGTCTTCGCACCTAGGAAAAGGAAACTGAAAGTGAGAAATCAGACATTTGATGGAACGAAGCCAGAGGCTCTCAATCTAGCCTTTCCTTTCCTCTGCAATTTTTGCTTGAAGTAAGCTCCTCAGAATAAACACTATGGTAAACCTTGTAATTCCATTTTTATCTACCCAAATCAGTGCCTCTCCTCTGAGGATCCTGAACTTAAATGGACCCCCTGATCCTCTGAGACCAGGGCCTAAACCTTATGACAGCCTCAACATCCATTTGGCTTTAGAGTGCGCGCACGTGCTTGCTAAACGTTTAGATAGCCTACAGGTTGTTTATCTAACAACTTGACGTCTGGCCAGATTGAGTGAAGATAATGAGCTTTAGTGAGGATGCTTCTAGACCCGGCAACTGCTACAAATCAGATCATAGGAGCTTGTGAAAAAATCAGTGCTTCCTAAGCAGCATCACCAACCGACTCAAAAGATCATCTTTACATATTCATGAATTGAATAGGAAACATTTGGTCAAACTCACATTAGATCACTCTTATTTCCATTATGTGGTGATACTTTTCATCACGTCACAAAGGAATTTTTGCCCAGTGTTTGTAAGGTCGTATAGCTAAGAGCCACCCTATAAATTGATAGTGGCCTAGAGACAGTTTTGGGGGCCTATTAATCCTGTTCCATTTATGTTGTGCCAGTGATGCAGGGCAGGGACATGGGACGAGCATCATGACAGTAAGAACAGGAGGGACCCCATCTTAAGGCTAAGATTCCATTTTAAAAAACCAGGGAGATAGGAAGTAAGACTCTCATATTTAGTAATCAGTCAACAACCTATCTTAGGTTGGGACAAGTAGTCCTAAATGATGTTTCACCAAGTGTGCAGAGAAACCTCCCCAGACCAGCTAACATTCTAAGACCCACAGTGGGGATGGAAATGCTTTGCAACCAGGTTGGCCCGGGTCTGAATTCCAGCTCTGTTCCATACTAGCTGGACCACTTTGGGCAAAAATGTAGCCTAAATGATATGTTTCACCAAGTGTGCAGAGAGAAACCAGCTGCCCGGCAACACCATTAGCCTTGGGTTTTCTTAGGATTTTGAACGTAAATGGTTCTTCTAGTTGATTTTGCTCTACCAAACTTTCTCTGATGATACTGAGAATCCTCATCTCCGCTGTGTTTGTAATTCAAATGAAGAGGAGCCAAGAACAAAGGAAGTGAAACATCTGGGACTCTAGAGATACTCAAAGGCAGCCCAAGAGTGACTTCACAGTGCTCCCACTCCGCTCAGATGGAGCCAGTTAACACATGAGGCCAACACATGACACGCTGCAAGTGGCACAGCTGCTCAGAGTGACAGTCAACCCTTGGTAGAGTATGTTTTAAGAACTTAATAGATGTAACAGCAATTTTCTTCAGGAGTAAATTGGTCTCTGAATCATACTCTAAAAACATAAAAGGAAAATGACTAATAATTCAGCACAAAATGAAAACTGGTGGTTACCTAAGAGGTACTGGTTTGCATTTGGCAATTTCTTCTTTTTCTAGATGAATATACACAAGTTAGGTCCACAAAATGAATGGTGGCTGTGGTGAAGCTTTCTCCCCATTACTACTTAAAATTTGTTGCTCAGAAAAAGAAATGAGTGGCATTTCACCAACAGGAAAATGTTTCTAGTAGAATATAAAAATCTGTTAAGCAATTTTCCAGTATATTAGGCTGAAGTTGGTTAAGATGGGTATATCTTTCTGTGGCAATCAAACATTGCATAAATTCCAGTCTTACAATACCCCTATGTGGAGAGCTAGTACAACTTGGCCTATTTTAGTCAGCACTTCTGTACTTACTTCCACATGTAACCTCATACAGTCAAAGCCACTACTCAGTATCTGAAAGAGGACTCTCTAATTTGAGGATCACTCATGATTCACAGAAGAGACCTTCTTTCTTGGCAGCATCTGTAGGGCTCAAAATGACAAAAGCAACCAGCCAGTTCTCCTGTAACCTGCTTAAATGACCTATGAGTGGTCAATGACCAATGACCAATGACCAATGACCAATGACCAATGACCTGGCTCGAAGTGAAAGTACACACAATATCATTTACAAAGAAGTACCCCTAACTTCTTGCCTACTTCGCTCTTCCAACTTTTTACTATTTACAGAGATCAAAGACGACCATGACATTAAAGGAACAGTTAAAAAAAGAAAACGCTCATACTGAAGAGCTACTTTTGAGTTACACGGTATAAAATCAGCTGTTGGCCAGACATGACATCCCCTCTCCTCACCATGCTCAGCCTGCACATAATTCTTCCCCTTTAGACTAACCCTTTCAGCAATTCTGCTCTGAAAATATAACCACTGAATGTCAACTTAGAAAAAGGCAGTAAATATGGGTGGGAGCCATCAAGTAATAGTACACTGGAAAATGCTACAACGGGAGCAGGGAATAAGATCTAGAACATTCTGAATATAAAAAGAATTCTATACAATGGTCATTCTAAATACCTTAATGCCACATAATAAAATACTATTACAGAAACGTTAAGTTCTCCAGCAATGGGAACATTCTAAGACCCACAGTGGGGATGGAAATGCTTTGCAACCAGGTTGGCCTGGGTCTGAATTCCAGCTCTGCTGCATACTAGCTGGACCACTTTGGGCAAATGACACAGCATCAGTCTGTTTCCTTGCCTACAAAATGGGACATTAACTTCATACAGTTGTTTCAAGGACCAGAGTTGAATGTAGGAAACTGGCTCATCAGAAAAAAAGGGTGGCTATTAGTATTACTGATCACATCACACTCCCATCTGTGGACCCATATTTCAAAACTGCTGCTAAGTCCCAGAGCACGTGCTCTGCAGGAGTAGAGGGTCTTGGCTTCAAGTCTGTATTTTGTACCTCAAGTACCTCATTTCGTTGTTCTGTGTTATCTTACATAAAATTCAGCATGTGTAGTATTTCACCTATAAATAAGCCTTCTTCAGGTAGATTGGAGCCACACACGGTGCCCATTCTGCAACCCATGAGAGGGGCATTCCGGCTTCTCACGCTGACTTTGGTTATCTGCACCTCACCACCACAGACTAGAGCATGATACAGTACTTGTTTAAAAATACTCACTTCATGTGCACCACTGCCCTCTAGGGACGAGAATAATTCTTTCTAGTGATCTGCTTAACTATCTCCTTGATGTAAAAAATTAAAACGTCTAGTTACTGAACCAACAGGAGGAGAAACCTTTTTCCTGGAAATGTGGATTGATCCAACCAGCTACACTTGATCTCATCTTCCTGATCAAACATCTAGCTGTGGTCAGAGCTGCCATGTAAAGCCACAGAGCACAGGCATACCACAAGTATGTTCTGTTAGACTGCCTTAGGCATTGGATGTGTTGGGGACGACCATTTACTACCAACACACTAGGCAAATTTCCTCTTCAATACCCCTTAACTCTCAAGAATTTGACCTTCACAGTATTTCTTATATTTCTTATTTCCTATAATTTTTTACAACAAGCACATACTTTATATAACAGGGAGGGGATGCCCACATTTCCAAGGGAGGAATAAGATAACCTGGATTACTAAAGTAGAAACTATGCACTCAAGATCAATTTCAGGCTTTGCTGACATTGTGAATGACAGGTCTATGAATCTTTCACCGTGGGGAACCTCTAACCTCACTCACAGGGGAGAATGCAATAGTAGCTACTGTACCCAGACTAGGCCTTGTGCTCAGTTATCTGTTCTCTCCAACAGAGCTATGTGGTAGGTGCTGCTACCCGTGCTCTATAGATGAGACCCAGGGAGTTTGCCTACTGGCCCAAAATCTGCACACAAGCCCTTCTCCAGTAACAGGAAAACCATCTGAAAGCCAAGTGCTGCTGAAGGTTGAGCAAGATACCATCTTGCTGTAAACGGTTAATGAATTACAATAAACTCCAACCCAGAAACTGCTGAAGAACAGTATCTAAGAATATTTATTGTTAAAAGGTAGGTACTCAGAAATAACCCTCCTTCTATCATTGCCTTCAGTAATTAACTGCTAGCTAGTTATAAATTCAGTGAGAAACTTACTCTACACATGTATAGGGTCTGTGTTACCCAAATAGACATCTAGCTGGGGTTGAAATACTAAAAGTAGAACCTTTAGCTAAATTATAACCTTCTCAATATTTTTCATTTTAAAACCCTAAATAGATGATGCATACACTCAAGTCGATGTGAAGCATAAGGCCAAACTGGTAAGTGGACATTTGAACACCTCTCCACCTGCTCCCCTGTCCGCTGTGGGCTTCTGGGTCTATCAGCCCTTTCTTGGTGAAAAGCAGCAATCCCCGTTTTCCTCAGAGGCTCTTCAGCAGTAACACTGATGCCTGAACTTGTTACCTTTAAATACGTATGTCAGGACTGGGGGGCTTCCGGGACCATAACTTTAACGCAGCCTTCCATAACTGTCTTCTTACTTTCTGTTACGAAACACGACACCGCAATAAAAGCAATGAAACGCTTCAGCTTTTTCACTTCTGCAGAAGCTAAAACAACTTCCCCAACATACAAAGGGGCTGGAAAGTTAATTTCCTGGGAAAGAAATACACAGCCTGGCCCTGGCATCTTAGTACCTAGAAGAGCTGAAATAAGTCCATTGATCAAAACTCCATGTACAATCGTCTTTCCAAACTTGGTGCGTTTTGCAAAATCTTCATTTAAATGCAAGGGATTGACATCCCCCGTTAACTGTGAGAAGGCGACCACATCCCTCTGCGTGAAAGCTCTGCTGAGTTCAGCCCGGTCTCCAACTCTGAGGTGCATATGCTTGAAGTGCCACCTGCTTAGCACTGGCTGATCCAGGCAGAGTTTCCTCTGAAGCCCACCCCACCAGAGGCGATGGTTAGAAAGCACGGGGAACATCCTCAGCACCCTTGATTCCGCGAGTAGGAGCTTTTACCCTGCTTCAGTCTTCAAACATTAGGTTGGCGTCCAAAAGTACTTTTGAGAGCAGAGGAATGTTTCTGAAGTTGAAGACTAGTCAGTCCAATACTAGTTCTCTACTATTGCCAGATAATGCAAGGAGAAATGGAGAAACCTGTAAGAGAAAGAAAAAAGTTAACAAAATAGCGATAAAGCTGTACTGAAATACAGTGCAATGCAGAAACATGCCCAGTTTTATAGGATGCCAAGCTGATAGCATTTAGAAGAGCATCCTCAGAGAGCTACGTGGTCATGATACGCTGAGCATTCCAATAAATATGGCATTCAACAATAAATGAAAAGTTAATACTTTTCCACAAGAGTTCCAAGTTTTATTCCAAAACATCTCCCATACAACCTAAAATCTAAATGCTTTGCCTCACATTTTCAAAGACAATGAAGTCTTGGACTTCCCACTCTCTATACCACCCACCACCCCCCTTGCTCCAGGCTGGACGATGTTAACCATACTACGTTTATGCAGGCAGAAAAACAGGACACTTATTAAAAAGCAATTTAAGCCACTACCCAGCCTTGTCTGGAATATGGAATAGTCTTTACCTGAATTACTTTGAAGGCACATTTATTGCCTCTATAGCATCCAAATAGGGTCAAAGAGCTCCACAATTTGACAAGACCACTGCAGAAAAATCAAGAAAGCATAAAGATTTGTCCATACAACATTTCCCTAGTATTTTTTTAAGCTGAGATACCTATGGTAAGATGCACAAATTTTAGTGTATAGTTTGATGAATTTTGATATATATACTCATGTAACCATCACCCAGATCCAGATCAAGATATTAAACATTCTAATTTTTCCCCTTCAATTATTTCATCATCCTTCCGTCCCCTCCCTTGTACTTTTCTTAGTAATATTCTAGGAAGTAGTTTCTTCCAGAACACCTAATTTAAATGAGAAAACACTGTAAGTAAAAGCTTATGTCATAAGCCGAGAATTAAATGAACTTCAATTAGGAATGTTCCTAAAATATACTTTTCTGAGTTTGCAACCACAACCATCAGTAGGGAAACTGTGCAGCTGTAAGCAAACAGCAAGTTTTGCTCTCTAGAGTATAAGCTCCTGGCAGATTAATGTTTACATTCTCCCCAGTTTAAGCTTCCAAAAGCTGCTCAGAATTCTCTTCTCACTCTCAGAACAGAGCATTTTTCTCTTTTTCTCCATCCGTTTCCCTGCTCTGTTATCCTAGAAGTGTCCCAGTATCTGTCATACCTGCTACATATTCTCAAGACGGCTGACAAGGTCCCCTCGTCATAGGTCAGGAGGTCCAAGGGTAAGGCAGCATCAGCCTGAGCATGGGATGATACTATTAACAGGCCATCATAATTACTCTAATCACTAATAATTAACAACTAATCCTGCCAACGGCTTTTCTCTTCCAGAAAACCAGGATTTGGGTCAATGGCGCTGGAGTACGGGGCACGCTTATTCACGATTCCCTCGACTGCAATGTTCTTCCTGTTCCTCTTCAGACCGCATGTGCCTCTTCACTCTTCAAGTCTTTGTTTAGATTGTTCCTTCCCTGACCCTCAAGAAAGCCTAACCGTGTGCTATGGTCTTCCAAGTACAGGACCCACATGCCTCCTCTTTCGTAAGACTCATCATTCTTGCCATTTAACTGGTTGATGTGGTTTCCTACTAAAATCACCAAGGCACAGGACGTGCCTCCTGATCACAGCTGTATCTCCAGGAACCAGGTTTTATACCTCACGTACAGAAGGTGTAGATGTTTTTTTCCTTAAACATTTTATTTCGAAAAACTAGTCACGGGAGATTGTGCAGAAATGTACAGGAAGGTCCCCTTCCCCCAGCTTCCCCCAGTGTCAACATCTGGCATGACTTTAGGAAACTCAAATTGATAAACCAGAGTTTATTCAGATTTTACCAATTAGGCACACTTATATTTGTGTGGGAGCCCATGTGTGCACAGTTCTATGCAATTTTACCACATATGTTGTTTCACCACCACAATCAAAATACAGTAACTATACCGTTACCACAGGGCTCTCTCCTTCTGTCCTTTACAGCCACACCCACTACTCCCCCACCCCAGGCAACCACTAATTTTTCTCCAGGTCATATAATTATGTTCTTTCAAGAGCATTATATAAATGGAGTCACCCAGTATGTCATCTTTTGGGACTTTTCATTCAGCATTAATCCCCTGGAGGTTCAGTCAGGCTGCTGTGTGTATCTATAGCTTGTTTCTTTTTATTACTGAGTATATCCCATGGCATGAATGTACCACAGTTTAACTAGTCACCTACTGAAGGACATCTGGCTTATTGCAACTTCCTAAGATGTTATGGATGTTTCTCTCTCTTCTTCTCTCTCCCTTTCCTCCCCTCTCCTCCCTCCTCTCCCCTCCCCTCCCCTTCTCTCCCTCCCTTCCTTCTTTCTTTCTTTTTTTAAAGAAATTGCCCTTCTGCGTTCTGAAGTGGCCATAGCACTTCACATTCCCACCAGCAATGCAGGAATGAGATGGTTTCTCTGCATCCTCGCCAACACCGTTATCACTATTTTTTATTTCCGTCATTCTGCTAGGTATGTGCTGATATCCCACTGTGTTTTTTATGTGCATTTTCCACATGCCTAATAATGCTGAATACCTTTTCATTCATGTGCTTCTTTGTCAACTGTTCATTCTTTTTAGTAGAAATGTCTGTTCCTGTCTTTTGCTCATTTCCTAACTGGATTGTTTGTTTTTACTACCGGGTTTTGAGAGTTCTTCCTATGCTAGATATTAGTCCTTTATCAGATATGTGGTTTGCAAATATTCCCCCCCAGAAAAAAAGAAACCTACAATCTGTCCTTTCATCCTCTTAACTGAGTTTTTTGTGGAGTAAAAGTCAATTCTGATGAGATGCTTAGCAGGTTTTGATTTGACGAGAGTATATGAATCAGGAAATAAATCCTGAAAATTATCTTTGTTCTCTCTCAAAACTAGTTGTTTCCAAGTGAATGCTAAAACAAGACTACTCAAAGTGCTGGTCAGTGATAAGATAAGGAGCTGTATCAGAAAGTAAATCCACAGCACTTCACTAAGCGCAGTTTAGTTCAGCTCAGTCTTTGCACAGGAGCCATTCTCAGTAAAGGAAGCAGTGTGCTGATTCACATTCTGGGGCGAGCCATCTTTGCAATGGGCAAAAAAAGTTCGTGGGTTGCTAGCCTGGACCATACTTTGGACTACCACTGCAATCAAGCTTCCAGCAAGTTCCTTGCCAAACAGAAGGCACAGTAGCACAAACCTATCAAAAATACATCATTTCTGAAAGTCGCCTTCTTTTTCAAATACGGTTTTAAAGCTGCAGAACTTGGTTTAGCAAGCGTTCTTTCAGTATTTCTTACAAAGATCTTAAGAGTATTTTGTCTACTAGGTGATTCCGTACCTCCCCAAACAGGTCCTTCAAGGCTGAAATCAGCAACTGTTTGAACTGTGCAGCATTCAGTCCAACCCCACGATCTTGAAATTCTCTGGAGAAAACATTAAAAAGAAAAAAAAGGTGTATTAAATTTCATGCTATTCAGATTCATTAAAGAAAGTAATCAAAAGTATAACTTAAGAGACTGAACTTACAGGCAGACTTTCATGTAGTGATGCTCAGAGGGATTTTTGTAAACTATTCTTTCATACGTGGTAGGGGGTACTGGCATCTTTTCCAGTGCTGACCAGACCTATGTGGAGAGTCAAGAGGGTCAGAAATTAGCAAGGAAAAAGCTGTTTTTCACTTTTTAAATGAGAAATTTGACTTATGTAATTTTTAAAAGAACTCCTTATACAGTAACTTACCTAATTCTGGTCAACCTGTTACCCATACAGACACAAAGGCAGTTTCTCTATTTTCTATATGCCCAGCGACTGTATTCTTATTTAAATTCTAATAACATAACCCCAGCAAACAGTCTTCCTTACTGAGAACCCAGCTCTATGCTAATGTCTCAAGAAATGTGCCCACAAAATGATCCTATGAGGTTAAAGCTATTCTTATTCCCACTTTTAAGAAGACAACTTTGAGGCTTGGCGGATAGGTAATACCTGCCCAAGGGCACACAGGAATTCCAATCACTCCTGAGACCCCTCAAGCCCGCTCTGGTGAGATGCCTCTTAACCCAAAAAGAAAATAAAACCATAAAGGAGTAAAATCTGGAATCTGTAAGCCCTCTTCTTGTTTACTTTCAGTCAACAGACCATGCACAGAATGAGGGGTGGTAGTTCTGCTGTTCCCTCCTATGCTCAGTCTGTCTGTTCTCTGTTCTGGAGGCCAGGTCTGGACAGGGCTAACTGGAGGCCCCATGAAAGACTGAGCTTAAACAGTAAGGGGTCTGAGAGGAGGAATCCCTGGAATGGGCACTCAATGCCATTTCTAAGAGATACGGAACTCCCACGAAACGCGAGCATGCAGATCTGCCTGGAAAGAACCCATCCCTGGCCCCACCCCCACCTCACTCTCCCTCTGGGTAGCTCCTACTCTTCCTTTGAATTTTAACTTGAAGTTCTCCTCTTCCAAGAGTTTCACATCTTCAAGGAAGCCTTCTTTGACATCCTGTTCTAAGTTAGGTTCCCTCCTTATGCAATCTCTTAACATTGTCTAATATCTGGCTCCCCTATCACAGGAACCAGGAAAGTGAGGCCCAACCAAGGAAAAGGATTCATCCAAGGTCACACAGTTAAAGATCAGAAGATACAAACACGTCTCTGGGTCAGGCCCAGTTCCAACCACTCCCAGATAATGATCTCCAGAGAAAATGAGCTGTCAGGGTCAAGGAGCTACACCCAACCATCCAAGCAATGTGAGCATTTACTGTGTCTCGCACAGAGTACGTATTCAACACTTATTGACTCTATGAATAACTGAATGATGTTGGGTTAGGCCTATGTTCAAGAGTATCTTTAGAGTTTCAAGACTACAGCATTAGTTACCCAGTGCTTCTTTCCTGATCTAGTCTTCCCTTGACTGGAAGGGCAAAAGAACAGGACCCTTGGTCATTTCATCCACTGCCTGGCACCTGATAGGTGTTTCTTAAGCATTACTGCCTGCCTTAATGGAGTTGGCTGCCTGAAGTAGGGGAATGAGATTGGGTCAGGGCTCTGGGATGCCAATAACAACCAAAACTTAATGAATGTTCTGGAAATGGATTTTTGGTGACGGTTGCACAACGTGAATGTACTTATTGCCCGTGAACTGTACACTTAAAAATGCGTAAAGCCTATAGTATGTACATTTTACAAGGAAGAAAGAAAAAAGACTTAAGGAGAGAGTGTTTACTAATCAGCCACTTCTCTGGAGGCCCAAGCCTCAGGGTCATTGACAGTATTGGCCTCTGCAGGCTGTCCTGAGATTAAAGATGACGCCTGGGAAGGGCTCCATACAGCCTGGCATGTTCACCAGGCTCACAAAAATGTAAAAGCACTTCTACAGTCACTGTCATCATCTTTGAAGTCAGCCTTTTTAACGGGATGCTCACTAACTGATCTGAGTAATAGGTGTCCCTGCTTCCCTCGCCAGTCTAGTCTCTACAGCAGCCAGTGAACCAATTAAAACCCATTCAAGCCCCGCCATTCCTCTGCTCAAAACCTTGCAATGGTTCCCGCCTCATTCAAAGTAAAACCAAAGTCCTTAAAGACGCCTGCCGGGCCCTACCGGACCCGCGCGGTTCCCTGCAGGCGCTCTGACCTCAAGTCCCACCATTCTCCCCTGTTATACGCCCCCACCTCTGGGCCTCGCTCCCGGCTTTTCCACAGGCGGGGAAACTCTCCCTCCAGGTGACCACATGGTCACGCCCTTGCCTCCTATGGGCTCTGCTCAAACCTCACCCCTCGATTTGGTCCAGGGATCATTTTATCTAATAAGGCCAACCCCTAAGTCCCCAGCTCTCTTTTTTCCCTCACAGCCGGTAACGACCGCTGTTACCGCCTCCTAAACCTTAACTGTGTAAACCGCTTATTCTCCATTTGTACTTCCCTCCCCTGCCCCAACAGAACGTACGTTCCACAGAAAAGACTTCGTTTGCCTCAAGTCAGTGTTTCCAAGAACCTAAAGCAGCGCATCGCACACAGAGTAAGCACTCAACATACTTCTGGACTAAATGAAGGATTTTTTTTTTTAAAGCTCGATCCCCTATTGTGGGTATTCAGTCTGTTTTCGACTGTCATCGGTTAACGTCCCCCATTTGTTCAGCGCCCACCTGGCGCCGGCGCGCTCTGCACGCGGGGTCCGGCTCAGTCCTCGCAGCCGTCCTCTGCCACCGAGACCGGGTAGCGCAGAGGCCCGAGCAGGCCGGCAGCCCGGCCTCAACCTCCGCGCTCAGCGTCACCGGCAGGAGCGGATGGAGGGTTCAGGCCGCCCAGGATCGCGCTCCGCCGCTGTCGCCGTGCGCATGCGCACCGGCGAGGGCGTTCTGCGTCATCAGGCCGACTAAACCCTCTCCGGGAAAAACAGCCGCCCTGCTGCAAGTTTCCGCCTTCGCGCTCTCCGACATACGAACCTGACGTCTCCCGGACTCCTGTTGATTGAAGGGATACGCCAAGGCTTGGAACTCCCCACGCAGAGGCCAGAGTCTGAGTCGCAGAAACTGCTGGCCTGTTCACGTTTGGCTCCTTACGTCCCGCCCCCCGGATTCTGACACCTAGGCGCGGATATGACGTCAGCGCGCGGAGTCCTCCCGAGGACCCAGGCGTGAATCCCCACCCGAAGCCGAGGCCGGCGGATCTTAGCGCCCTCTGCTGGCCAGTCCGGAGAAAGCCGTGCGCGCAAATGGGTGTGGGATAGGGAAGCTTATTCAGCCCTGAAACTTTCTTCAGTCAACCATTTATCCGTGCATTCACTCAGCAAACTTTTATCTGAACATCCACTTCAAGCACTCCCCAAGGACGGAACCTGCTCTCTCTCTGTTCCTTGCGGCTCCCAGCACATGGTACGTGTGCTATCCGAGTTGACTGGAAAAGACCCAGATGCTTTTATCTGCAAGCCAAATTTCATCTATTCATTTATTCAAGTGCTTGCTAAGCCGCCGTTATGTGCTAGATACTGGTAACAAAGTGTTTGATTGTAATAACTATGATGAACATTTGATAAAGTCTAAAAAAGAAAAAAGTGATAGCTATTTCTTTTAATTAAAGTATCATTGATACATCAACTTATGAGTTTCAAATATACAACACAGTGGTTCAACAGTTGCCCATTTTAAATTGTCACCCATCTAGTGGGGACACTATCAACATAGGCATGTTTCAGAATCATTAACTGTATTCTCCATACTGTACTACCATCCCGGTGACCAACTCATATTGAGAATTAGTGATTGTGAATTACTGTGCCCCTTTATCCCCTTTCCCCAGTCCCCCTAAACTCCCAACCTCTCCCCCTTGGTAACCACCAGTCCCTTGCACGTGTCTGAGTCTACATAGCAGCTAGTATTTATCATGTATTCTCCCTGTGCCAGGCACTGTGAAAACATGTTAGCTCACGGAATTCCCACACAGTTCTAAGCTGTTTTTATAATCATCCCCATTTCACAGAGGTGGAAAGAAGTACAAGAGGCTAAGTTACTTACCTAAGGTCAGTTTTAAGTCGTGAGCAGGCCGTCTGACTCTCCGTGGTGCTCTTCAACTGCACCGACCCACCACTGTGTGATGAGAGTCTGGGGCACGCAAGGCAGAGGGGCTGGGGTTGCCAAAGCCCCAGGGTGAGCCCCATGAGGATGGGGCCTTGTCTCTTGGCTCACCACTGCATTCCAGTGCCTGGCAGCCAACCCCTACTTACTGAATGCAGTAGTTCAGAAGTGGGTGTGCTGTGCCTGCATTCGAGGCAAAGCATTGCCTGCATAGCCAAACCTGAGCCAGGGTCCACTCGGACCATCTCATTTCTTTTCTCTCAAAATCCTGTCTGCTCTTCCTAAAGCCTCAGTCCTTGGTTGCAGCAGTGTTCTCCAGTCCTGCAGCTTCTACTTCCCTCCCTTCTCCCCAGAGAGGAGACAGCACTTGTTCCAGACGTAAAAGAAATGGCAACATGGACCCCACAGACTGCGGCACTTTCTTTCTCAAAGAGGTTGGATCTTGGGAGCTGCCCAGACTCACTTCACATCCATCCTTTGCCATTTATTCAACTTTCCGACATCTATCCCGTGGACAGATTAGAAGTTTAGTAGTATCTATCTCAGAGTTGTAGGGAAAAATAAGTCGGTGTAAAGTCTGGCACCCAGGAAACACTCCTTAATGGGGAGACCCCCCTCAACCAGCTCCCTGGCAGAGTCATTCTGCCAAAGTGCAGCTCAGAGAACAGAACAGCCATGTATTTTGGACTTTTCAAGAACTTGCATAATTTTCACTTTTCTGCATCAGACCCTGTAGCTCTGGGAGGAGGGCTTCCCTACCCAGACACCCGTTTGCTAAGAATTCAGTGAGACTGAACTGAGGCAAGGGCAGCAAGTGGGGAATTAAAGGATCAGTAAATTTTGCAGAATTACCTGGAGGACAATAATAGACGAGAGGAGACTTGGCGTCTCTCACCAGAGATGAGCATCTTGAGACCGCTTGACCAGTCTACACCCTCTAGTCCTTTGTCACATTCCTGAAAATCCTTAAAAGAGGGAACCTCTAACCTTCCAGAGCGCCTCCTCACTCTGAGGATGCCCGCACTTCTTCTCTAAGAGTGTAACTTTAAATAAAACCTTTACTGTGCCTCACTACTGTGTCTCTGCCCTTCAATTCTTTGTTGCGGCAGGGACAAGAACTCAACACCCCTCCTAACAGCTGAACTGCCTGTGTTTTTATCCAGCAACCCTAGGAGGTGAGAGAAAGAAAACGGGGTGTAACCTCTCAGGCATCTCCTGTCTTCTGAGGGTGGCTCTGGGGAAACACGGCAGCTGTGATCCCTCAGCAGGTGGGGCTGTGGGAGCAGCCCTTGGTAAAGGGGACCTGGGAAGGACAGCCTCCCTCACTGCAGGCAGGGCTCAGGGACAGCCCATGGGTCAAGGGTATGAATGACCAGGAGTCTCTGTGCAGACTGTCAAGTCCAAACCATCCCCACGCCCCAGGGGAGTAGCCTGGTCCTCGCCGCAGCCCCCGCCCCAGTGACCTCTGAAGTTGTTCTTTCCCCTTCAGAGTCATTCCCTTGCTTGTAAGTTGGGGCTGGAGCTAGAGCCGAACTATTTAATTTGGTTTCATCTGGCATTTCTGAAATGTATTTAAATGATGGAGAAACCTCCCCACTAAAGGGGTCCATGATCCCAGGAAAGGAAAATTTGGGGGAGGGGATAACCATCCTATAAATAAGCAGCCTATTTCAGGAGGAGCCTAAGGTCCTTTCTTAAAATTCAGAGATCCTCTCCCAGGGATTTAGTGGGTTCCCTGCAAAGGAGTGCACCCTCTGTGCAGCACCAGCCCCCTTTCTCTGGAGGACTCTGGACTCCCATTACAGGAGCCTGGGAGAATCTGTGGGTTCTGACCCCCAGGGGGCCCAAGATACAGATGTAGGGGGTGAGCCACAGTAACATCCAGCATGACCTCTTTTATGTAAAAAAAGCAGACCAACCACAAAGCAACCCCGCAAGGCCTCTCTATACATATGTATGTAGGTACAAACATCCTTTTTTTAGCCTTCATTTTGTCTGATTTATTTTGGAGTGACAGGGTGTCGTTTTTATAATACTAATAATTGTTAAATAAAAATCAGGACTTGCCCTTTATAGTCACAAGAGGGAGCTGTGGACCACACCCACCCCTATGCGGGGCCTCTCCATCTAGAACACTTGCTGCAGATGCAGTCTCCCGCCCCTCACCCCTCACCCCTCACCCCTATCCCCCGAGGCAGAGGAATGGCTACAGGGAATGCAAGCTCTCCGTTCCTTCTGCGCAATCCTGAAATCCTACAGAAATCTGGAAACCAGATCTTTCTTCATCTGGCACCAACGCTTAGTCTGAACTGAGTTGAAGCTTTATATAGCTTTTGGCCCACTTACAGTGGATATTCTGACACTGCACAGCAGAAATATGAGAGCGTTGGGTCATGTAAGGTGGTGCCAGACCCCACTGGGGATGTTACATATATACAGTATATCCACCATAACAATCAGAACACTTCTACATTTGGAATCACACCTGGGTCTTTGAGCCTTAGGTAAGGGGTCCTAGACCTGCACTCATGTTTATAGTTTGCCTTCTGCAACAGTTACACACTGAAAAGCCAGCTTTCACCTTGAGTCATTAGGATTGGCACCTCCATGACACTTTCTGTCCCCAAGGTTCCCTCCTTCTCCCATCTCCTGCGGGAGCAGAGCCCTCCTGGAGAAATCCCCATCTGTGTGCTTAGAGGAGTGAGGTTAGAAGATTCCAAAGTGGAAGGGTCAGAAGAGCAAGTCTTCCTATCGTTAGGGGAGTGTTTCTGTGTGCGCATGGGTGACCGAGACAGGCAGGTGGATGTGACACAGATAAAGTAATGAAACAGAGATGGGGGCAAGCGAGAGGAGGAGAAGACAGACGCTAGGAGAGTTCAAAAAAGAAAAAATGCTCCTAAACATGGCCAACGGGTATTTCACCCATCATTTCTGGAGCGGACCTGGTGAACTGCCACTTTTAATCAAAGACTTGTCTGTCTAGCTCAGGAAGTTCCCCACAGCAGAAGGCTGGTTCCTGTGGGTGTTAAAATCCGCATCCATCATCTTGGAACAATGTTAAGTAACCAACCGGATTGTCCTGAGAGTGATCCCCAGGGATTGGGAAGTAAATAAGGGGCCTAAAATCCAGCATTTATATTTAACTAAAACCTACAACTTGTCTGAGGGCAGTGGGAAAGTGCCTGGCTGGTAAGAAGTCCAGGAGGTTGACCTTCCCCTTCAAAGGCCGCCTGAGCAGATCCCGGGCAGAGCTGTGGGTCGCTTCTGGAGTGGCAGCTAGGAGCAGGGCCACATCTCGTGACCACTCTCCGTGTCTGGTGGAGGAGCAACAAGAAAGGTAGAGAAGGCTTTTCCCCTCCAGAAAACTGCTTTGGAGGAACAGTGTTGATTATAATTGCAAGTACTAGGAGGGATGAAGGTTATCAGCAGGGTGAATAGAACCTTCCAGAGATGGAGTGACACCAGTCCTGGTTACTAAAGAGACTGGAAACAGGGCAGGCTGGGCCTTGAGGCACCCTTAGCAGGGTAACACTGGAATCCGGATGAGCTGGTTTCCTGCCGAGCAGGAGGCTGGGCCATGAGATGCCCAGGAACTATTGGGTCACCTTCCTCAGCAGGGGCCCTGGCATTTGCCCATGAAAACATTGTTTTTTGCAAGTCACTTTCCAACATAAACCAAGACACATCCCTCTGCTTGTTATCTACGTGACCTTGGGCAAGACACTTTATCTCTCCAGGCCTCGGTTTCCTTGGCTGTGAAATGGGCACAGGTCCCGCATCCCTCTTAGGGCTGTGTAAGGGTTTGAGAAGGTGATGCATGGAAACCACTTAAAAGAGTGCCCGGCATGCAGCGCGTCAGTCAGTCCCCCAACCTGGCCTGACATCCTTTATAATCTCTCAGTGCTTTCTGGAAACTTCTTGAGACAGAGCAACAAGTTCCCTGGTTTGGGGAATATGCCCTGGAGCTCAAGTGGCAGACAGACTGACACCCGCGGAGAGCACCATCAAACTCCTGTGTTTCCTGCATCCGACATTCCTGGTTTCACCCCTGCCCTGGACAAGAAGCCCAGACTGAGGCCAAATTAAGTCTTAACCATTGCCCATCCCTCAGCCTTTGTGACACCAGCCTGACACCAGCTTGGGGGCTGCCTCTGCAACAGCAGCCCAACAGGGCAGTGGGATTAAGGGTCCATTTGTGATTCCCGGGGCTTCCCATTGTTATTTCAGAAGCTTCTGGCAGTCTTTCAGGAAGGGCAGTGATGAATGACCCCTTTCTTCTTCCAAGACTGTCATCAAAGGCACACATCACAGGGCCCAGTGGGGTGTGGCTTAGCAGTAACCAGCCTGCTCTTCACAATCACAAAGGTGGGGTGCAAAGGGGAGCTCTACTTGTCAGCTTTCAAAACTCCCTAGCCCTGTGGGGCTGAAATCGCAGGCCCAAGGAGAAGCTTAAAAACCTGCACTGTAGGTTTGTCAAACATGACACACGCCCTGCTCATGCCTTCCAGCTGATGTTTTCCAGGGACAGTGGAGGGGGTGGGAGCCACTTCTGGACGCAGACCCTGCCCACTGTCCTTCCAGGTGGGACGGACGGCATGCCCCTGCCTGAACGACCCCGGCGGAGTGCTGTCGGCAGTTCCCCTGGATGTGATCCTTAGCTGCTCTTCAGCCCAGGGTTTCACAATTCCTGTACCTGGTAAGGTTTTTTTCTGACCTGAAGTACTTACTCCAGGCCTGGGGCTTCTTCAGCAACCCTGGAAACCATCTCTCATCACCACCGAGACTGACCCCTCTCCCAGAACCTCAGCAAACTTGGTGAATATGGGAGATTGGAGTAAGAGCATGTCTAATATTTTTCTTTTCTACTTTACTGATTTTGTTGCTCTCATGTGTATTATTTCCCTCTTTTTTAATTGCAATAAAGTTGATACACAATATTATGTTGGTTTCCAATGTACAACATAGTGATCCAATAATTGTGTACATTGCTAGATGCTTGCCACATTGGGGTATCCTTCTGTTTTTTTCCTAGGTTTGATTTGGTGTTTCTTTTTTAGCTTCTTCAGACAAAAGCTTAAGTTACTGATTTTCAGCCTCTCTTCTTTTCTAATAAAAGTACTGAGGTCTATAAACATTCCTCTGAATGCAGCTTTAGCTGCACCCCAGACTGCTGTCCCATTTTCAGATCTTGTTTTTAAGACCTATGTTCCACTCTTCTCTGATAAAAATATTCACACCAACCCCTGAGTCCCCTTTAACCTATAAATCATCCCTCTTAATTTCCAGAACTACTTAGCTGTAGACTCTGTAAAAAGATTTGAAGAAGTGAAGTGCCCAGGGAATTTAGGATTCCTAAATTCAGTAAGAGAAGGTCAAAAGCAACAGTTTGATGATTCTTGCCTTTTGTGTTTGACATACAGTTCAACTGAATGCTTTCAAATAGTATTTCTCAAAATGAAAGGAATAACCCATCCAAGCAAGGTTTTCCAATGCCTGTGGAATAAGCCTTACTTAAAAAAATGCTTCTTAAAGTTCATAAAAAATCTGCCAAAGTTACCCTTAAGGAGGAGCTTAGAAAAGGAAACCATCTGTATGTTGTTAATCTAGACTTAAGTCAATTTATTTCATGTCATTGTGGTCACTTTTACAGCTGTTTAGATTCATTTTCAATCACATTACTGTTCACAGAATTCACAGAATTCATTAACATACTAGTTTTTCACATCCAAGGGTTTTCAGTAGCACAGCAGATAGAAAAGAGGCCCAGGAGGTGCTCGTGTGTGGATCCCGAATCTGATGATTTAGATAGCTGTCTAGGACTTTATTGCTTTATCAGTCCTGTTTTTAAAAATCATAAATGATTCCCAGGAAATCATTTTTCCTGGTTAGATGTTCTCATACTGGGACTTTTCTGGGCTCACTCAGGACACACCCAACATGGAGGGTGCCCATCAAACCACCCAGCTGTGTTCTCTGCTTCCGCAGCAGCTCTGAGGGCCGGCACGGGCAGAACATCCCTCCCTGCGAGTAAAAATGTTTACAGCCATTTCGCTCTGTCTCACAGTTGATGGACTGCATTGGCCTATGGGTCTCTATGTAAAACTCAAATTAGACATAAACAAGAGGGGCTCAGTGAATGGGGACTAGCACTCCTAAAGCAGCCATTGTCCATGCAGGGGAGAACATTGAAGCAACAGAAAAGCCTTGAGACAGTCTGTGAGGAATGTTTTAAAGAACAGGGCCTCAGTGATGAGGGTGGTCCAAGGGGGGCCACCGTGTGACATGAACTTGAAGACTTCTTGGTAGGTTCCATGGCTGGGTTTCTTATTTTGTTCTGTGAGTTCCCATCTTGTGAAAAACGTCTTGGAGGTTTCCTCGTGGCCCCCAAAGCTCTATGGCTCTGTCAAGACTCCGGGGGAGGGGCCGGGCTTCCTCAGGGACTTGGGTGCTCTGACCACGTCTGCGGCAGGATCCCTGAGAAGCGGTGGCCAACAGCAGATTTTGGAGATGGGAGCAGGTGCTGCGTGTGGCGTGTAGGCCGCCGTTGGGAACTCAGTCCAGCTTCTTATTGTTGTCCGTGTTGGGCACAGAAGCTAGGAAGTCGACGATGAGCTTGGCTGTCTTCCTGGGTCTCTCCATCACCACCGAGTGCCCACAGTTTTCCAGAAGTTCCACCTGGCAGTTGGCGATTGACTTGGCCAACATGGCTGCCCCAGACACGTCGAGTACCTGAAGGACAAGAGAGAAAGCTAGATGGCAAGGGTTCAGATGCCTGTGCGTGCTCAGCAGACAGAACTCCTGCTGAGGCCTGGCAGGGCCGGTGTTTAGGACCAAGTGAGTTAGTTCAGTGCCGGGGGCTAGCGCCCTCCGACAGAAGGGACTGCACGCCTCAGGCTTTACTGTACAACTCGGTGCCCGGAGCTGTGCTGCCAGCAGTTTCTGGTCTGGCATGGAGGATCCTGGGAGCCGAGAGCTCCAGGGAGGAAGAGGGTGGGAGGTGGTGGCCAGTGCTGAGATGCAGTGGGGAGGGCCCGCTCCTCCGGCCCTGCTGGGGGGTCTGGCTTTGATCTGAGGGCAGGGGGAGCTGCAGTGCTATGGCAAGGACAGTGATGTGATCAGGCCGGGCCACAGGGAGGCCCCCTACAGCCTGAACAGAGAACAACAAGCTGTGGGAAGGGCATCCCGGAACACCAAGAGGTGACAGCTAATCATCACAAACTGTTTGGGGAGTATCTCTTTGAAGGTCCCTGGGGGGTCCCCAGAGCTGTGTGACCTCAGGCCTCAAGTCCATGAATAATGGGGTCTGCTTTCCCAATCTGAAAGCCACCACTTTTTTAGGGCCGACACTTTTCAAAGAGCTCATGTGATGCCATGTTCCACGTGCCCTGCTTTCTCCCCAGCACCCTCGGACTGGCATTCACTTGGCTTCTCTCAGTGGCTTTCACCTGCGACTCCCCTCAGACAAGAGGGCCCCCCCTCCCATCCTCAACAGCAAAAGCAGAAGCCCCACAGGCCTGAGTGCCATCCGGTCTGAGCTTGACCCGCCTCAACTCAGATGATTAAAACCAGGATAGTGCGCCCACCTGGCTATGTGGCGAGCAGAATGGCTGGGCACTCCACAGAAGAATCAGACATCTCTGCCTCACCCCTCTCTCACAGCAAAGGCTCCCACAGTACTGGTCTGAGCAGAAATAAAGCCCAGCTATGGAAAATACCCAAACAAAATGCAGGCAGGGACCACGGGTCAAAGCAGGAAAAACAGCAACTCCCAACTGAGCATCTGTCTGGCGGATGGTCAGAAACCACTGCTCATCAGCAAAAATACCACATGAGCTTCTAGCTTTGACAATTATCCTGATCAAATCTGGTGTTCCCCATGGTCACTCAGAGGTCTGTGAGACAGCTGCATGGGCCCTCACGATAGGTACATGTCTGGGGGACCCAGGCCAGCTACTTCCTGAGTAAGACATTCCTGAAGATGGTCAAACTGGGTCTCCACCCCATTCCAGGCCAAAGCAAGCCCACAATAAGGGAAGTGAGGCCCTTGCCTCAGGCACAAAGAAACCCGGTACTCCAGATGAATACTATTTTAATGCAGTACTAAAAAAATAGACCTTAATGGAAAAAGATCCATGATGAAAATATCAAAATTATAAAGACAGACTCCACCTCTGTATTTACATGACATACCTCACCCTAGGGTTGGCTGTGCCATGCATTACAGCGGTAGGTAGACTACTGTATAGACTGTAAGCTACCAGAAGGCAGGGCTCCTGTGGGTAAAACGGCAGTATTTCCAGAATCCCTCGCCTGGCTTTAGTGCATCTCCATATCAACAGGCATTTTTAAGGGGTGGGGAGAACTAGTCCATGGGTAATTACATGGGCAAGCGAGGGCTTATCTGGACCTAAGATGTTGGGGACAGTTTTTGCTCGCTTCTGTCGTAACAGAGAGAGACACGGGATGACTCCTTGTAAGCAATAAACAGGTTTTAAACTTTATTTCTCCCTTTGACTGAATTTAGTTTCAAAGGCATTTTGCCCCGGAATTTTCCCCTCCCCAGATTTATAGCTCCTGTCTGTCTTGGTCGCTACTGCATCTCCGGGGCCTAATCCATGCTGGGCACATACTAGGTGCTCGATATGACCCTAGTGGCTGACTTAAACATGCAGGAAGTCAGTTGATGGGTTGACCATTTGCAAGTTTCTTCACTTCTACTTGCTTGCTCATACTACGTCCTCTGGGTCTCCTGCATACCAGGCACTGTGCTGGCCAGGAGAACAGACCTAAAGAATAATAAACCTTACATACCTTCATATGGCCCTCCCACTCTAGTGAACTGAACATAAAAGAGAAATAAGTTGAACAGCTGTGCAGAAATCCTCTCAGGAAGGGCTGCCAGGTTCCGTTGTGCAGGCTGTAGACTGCCCAAATCCAGGGGGTCTCATTCACCTAGATGACGTGCATATGGCTCTCCCTGCAGTTGTCCAATACAGTAGCCTGCCTACTGAGCCTCTACTTTGCTTCCACAGGTATGGGTCTTTGACACCAAATGTTGATGACAGAGCAGGAAAGAGCCAGACAGTTTGCTATTTGGAGTCTGGCAGGGATGGTCCATGAGAACACATATAGGATCTGATCATATTTATAGCAGGCCCAGGGAATTTTAGGCTCTTTTACCAGAACAAAATGGACTTCAGAGCCCTGGAGGAAATTTTGGACCACAGACAGAGGTCAGCAATCAGAGCAAAGGACATGAGTAATAATCATTTTTTGATAACTGGAGAAAAGTCACCTTCATATATATTATCTTACTTGAGCCTCACGATCACCCTCGCAGAAGAGAAACTGCCCTTCAGAGCAGCTGAGTGACTTGCTCAAGGTCACGGGGTGATAAAGGGCAAAGGCAGGGCTGGAATTCAGACTTTTGGAGTCCAAGCCCAGAGATGGCGCTTCTGCACCGTCTCCGCAGGGCGATGGGCTCTCGCCCCTCCCTGCTGGTTCCCGACAGCCCCACGTCACCTTCGGGATTTTTAGAATTAAGAAAGGCTTTGACTCTTCTGACTGACTCCTGATGGAATGGCTCCCTGCCGGCCCGGGTCCTGTTTCTCTGCTCAGGTGCCCACAAAGCTGCTCTCAGTCTCTCGGCTGAGGTGGAGGGCAGCACGTGAGCCCTCGCCACTCCTCACACCCACCCGCCTGTGCTGCACATCTGCACCCAGCCATGCTGATGCCATGATGCCTCCCTCCCCACGGGCACTGGGGACCCAGTCCTGGCTCCTCCCTGCATCTCCAGGGGTCTCCATGGCCCCGACCTGTGCTGTCGTTAGGTCCCCAGGGGAACTGTCTCCACGGGGAAAGCTTTTCTCTAATTGCCTTTCTCTCAACATTCAACAGGTCAATGTTGCTGGACACTTTTACTAGACAATGTCATTCTGTCTGCCTGTGGGCCTCATAAGGGTTTCATTTCTCATTGCTTCCTCTCGTTTTAAACTTGAGAACTAGCCCTAAGATAATGGTTTCTAACGAACAGATGAAAACAAAAAAGGAGCTTCTGGAGTGTGAATTAGTATCTCTCTGGAAGGTCTGTTATGGCTTGTCTCTCCCCCAGATTCTCATGTTGAAGCTCTAATCCCCAGTATCTCAAAATGTGACTTCTTTGGAAATCGGGTCATTGTAGATGTAATTAGTTAAGAGGAGGTCATACTGAGTGGGCCCTAACCCGATACGACTGGCATCCCTACAAAAGAGGGAAATTTCAGCACACAGACAGCCAAACCAGGGAGAGAACACCATGTGAAGAGGATGGCAGAGCTCAGGATGACGCCTCTGTAAGCCGAGACTCAGCCAAGACTGCCAGCCAACCGCCAGAAGCTGGAAAAAGTCACACAGTAGACTGTCCCTGACAGCTGCCCCGAAGGAACCGGCCTGCTGACAACGTGATCTCAGGCTTCTGGTCTCCAAAACTCCAGAACAATCAATTTCTGTTTAAGCCACCCCATTTGTGGTACTTTGTTATGGCTGCCCTAGCAAACTGATACAGAGCCATCTGACAAAACCTATTAAAATTCTTAAATGCACTTGCCCTTTGACTTGGTGATACCACCCTAAAAATCTTCCCTTCTGGTATGTTCTCATACTCCACAAGCATAGACGTACACTGATATTCACTGAGGTCTTGTCTAATGGCAAAAAATGGCAAACAACCAAATGACCACTAATTAAACCCAACATGGCAGAGCTGGACAACGGAGTACTATGCAGTTGTGAAAAAGAATGGTGAAAAATATCGTTGGGGCAAGACTCATTCACAAATAGTAAATGATAGCCGGGGGGATGTGTGGTGAGGAGCAGGAGTTGGCCATGGCTCCCCACAGACTGCCGATTGGTTGTATGGGGAGAAATAACAACTGTACAAGGAAGAACGCAGACGATCGCCGGCCCAGAAAATCGGTATTAACATCACAAGCGAGGAGGAGGGGGGCACATGCATCTGAGGATGGGCTACGTTATCACTCAGGAGATATTCTGGCCAGGGATGGAGAACCTGAATTTAATCATGAGGAAACAGCAGACAAACTCAAATTGAAGGACATCCCATAAGAAAACTGGCCTGTGCTCCTCAAACATGTCAACGTTCATGAATGACAGAGGCGGGCTAAGGGACAGGTTTATATTCCAGGAGACTAACAGGCCCTGACAAGTCATGTGTGACTTTGGATTAGATCCTGGCTTGGGAGACAGGAGGATTCTGTATATTCTATGTTATTGAAACAACTGATGGATTGGGAATACAGATTGTTGATGAGATGAACTTATCACATCAATGTTAACTTTCCTGAAAATGATAATGTACTGTGGTTACGAATATGAGAACATGCTTGTCCCCAGTAAATACACCCTCAAGTACTGGGGGGTAAAGAGATTTAATTTAAGCAACCATCTCCAAATGGTTAAAAAATATATATTTCTAGGTAGACAGATAGATAATAAGGAGAAAGCCAATGGCAAATTTAAAAATTGGTAGTAAATAAAATGTGGTACATACAATCTATTTACTAACACTCAACAATAAAAAGGAACTAACTACTGGTATATGAAGCGCTGTGGTTGAACCCAAAAAACAATATGCTTGCATAAAAGAAGCCAGATGCAAAGATTACCTATTATATAATACCATTTCTATGAAGATTCTAGAAAAGGCAAAACTATAGAAACAGAAAACAGAGGAGTGGTTGTACGGGTTGGGGTGGGTGTAGAGATTAGCTGCAGAAGGGCAGGAGGGTACTTTTGGGACAACAGAAGGGTTTTATACCTGGGTTGTGGTGGGATGCACAATTAGGGGAAGCTTATGGTTTATAAATTATACCTCAATAAAGCAGTTAAAAATTGATGACTTTAAGTAAGGTACAGGAGTACTCTGTACTAGGCTTATAATTTTTCCCTAAGTTTGAAATTATCTCAAGATAAAATATTAAAAAAAAGTGGAGTGAGTAAATCTGTATGGGCTGATAGGAAACAATTTCCAAGATAGATACATCATATATATATATGAGGTAATATGCAAAACAATGTATATATATTTTTAAAATTTATACATGATACATGGCATGCTTAAAACACTCACAGATAAAGCTTACCTATGCATATATGCATATACTTAGAAGAGAGGTAGGCAGGAAGTGGCCCAAGGCCTTGGTTTGTCAATAAAGGCTCACTGGAACGCTGCCACCCACTTGTTTGCAGGTCTATAGCTGCTCTTGTACCACCACAGCAGGGCTGAGTCACAGTGACAAAGATCAGAGGGCCCACAAAGTGGAAATACTTGCTATGTGGCCCTTCACAGAAACCACTTGCCAATCATCACCTTTGAAAATTTAGGCAATACACACAGAACATTAAGGACTACCTCAAGGAAATGGGAATTGGGATCTGGGATATAAAGAGATCAAGTTTTCATTAAAAAATTTTTTGTAGTCTTTCAAGTTTTTTGTGTCATGTGACTATATGGCTTTGATTAAAAATAAAGTGTAAAAATGATTTATGATTGCCTCTCGTTTAAAAAGACCGACGCCATTGCTCTTGGCTCAGAATGATGCTCCCTGTAAACGCTGGCCCGTGACCCTAGTGTTTTCTGCCGCCTCCTCTGGAGATCGGAAACCTGCCAGCGAAGCTCACTTTATAAATGACCCCTGGCTTCTGTTAGGCTGGAGGAAGGAAAAACAAGGACATGCAAACAGAACAGAGATGCCATAGGCGGAGAACAGACCAGACTCCAAGGTCCGTGCCTTATATGGAAAGGGGACAGCTCTTCCTGAATTCCATCCTTCTGATGTGCCAACTAAGACCCGGATGTCAGCCTCCTCCCTCTTGGAAGGAAAAAAGTTTCTAGTTGTCTATTATGTCACCTTTAGCCAATCATACCTCTCCACGCCCCCTAGGATAGCTTGCCCACTCCTCCCCCTCCTAACCCCTTATAAGCCCCCACCTCCCTGACAGGTGTGACTTCCCCGGCCTGTAATACCCAGACCGCGGAACATCACCTGGGGCTGCACTCAAATAAACTACCGGGCCCTTTGTTGCCTCTCTTCGCCTGCTTTTTTCGGCTAAAATTTATCTTACAGCTTCATCAGAGGCCAGTGTGGTTGCACAGGCGGCCTCGAGGACGTGCTACACACCTGGTCTTGTTTCCCCCAGATGATCTGCGTGGGGACCTTGATCTTGTCCATGTTCTCGTGGAGGGAGTATCTTGACTTCTCACTGACGATTTCCAAAAACACTTCTCAGAAAAGGAAAAACAAAGTGAGCGTGCGCTGGGCTCTGCGTGTGGCACCAGCACAGAACACGGGGACAGTCGTGGGGTCCAAGCCACCACTTTCTCCAGGGGCCCCAGAAAATATCAGTCTCAGAAATGTAAGACATAAAAGCCAGCCACCCACAAAGCTTCCCTTGTCCCAGGCTCAGAGCTGAAAGCAGAGCTACTCACGCTTCCGGTAGAAGTTGTTATGAGGGATGCGGACGTCAACAAGGCCCTGCAAGATCTGAGGAAAAATAACCCAAAGTTGGAAGGCAAGAAAAGAAGATCTATTTCCTCAGGTGTCTCACGGCTCTGGGAAAATGAAGGAAATAAAGTCCAGCAATTTATGGCACTGCCAAGGTTTGCAGGATCTGGTCCTCCAAATTCCCCCAGTGTGGTATGAAATGTAACTGGGAGTAGGTTCCTAAGAGGCTTTTTCCTTTTTAATTAGGAAGGAACTTGGATGTAATACTGTGACACCGAAGGTCCCGTACAGCAGGGAAATAACGCCTGAGATGACCTGACAGCCGCTTCATCTTGAAATATCCTCTCCTTCAACTAAGACACAACCAGACTGGAAATAATATCAAGTGATTGCTTGTTCAATAATAGCCAACTGCAGAACAAGGTCTATTTAGAACAATTAAAGGGTTGGGGATGGTGAGTCTCTTAAAAAATGAAGCAATAAACTACCGAGAAAATTCTGGGAAGGGTTGGCGAGTCCTTTGCTTATTGTTTGACACTGTCTCTGCCTTTCCTGCTGAGCGCTGGCGATGTGGCAGCCAGTGGGGAAGGGCCAGACCTGCGGACCTGGAGCTCTGACCCAGAGGCACTGTGGCCGGAAGGCACACAGCCCCCTGCTCCTGCCTGCTTCAGGATTCTTGAAGTGGAGTCCAGGGTTCCTATTAGCAGCTGTCTCTTCTCTNCAGAGGCACTGTGGCCGGAAGGCACACAGCCCCCTGCTCCTGCCTGCTTCAGGATTCTTGAAGTGGAGTCCAGGGTTCCTATTAGCAGCTGTCTCTTCTCTCATCTGCCTGGAATGGTTTGAACCCTTTAAATGCGCTCTCTAAAATCCTGTGTGCTGATGGAAGTGGGAAAATCCGGTGTGAACTGTTTGTTTGGGACTAAACTAACCGCGTGGAGCGTGACTAGAGCCTGACCATCCTGGAAGCAGAAGCCTAGACTCTGAAGGCAGGTTCACCAGCACACCATGCTCAGTAGCAGCCATTTCTTCATTCTGTTATCTATCCTGCACCCACGCACCTATCCATCTCCACGTTTGCTCCCCCATCCAACCCGTCCTTCCATCTTGCATCTCTGACTCACACACGCACATATCTATTCATGCATCCCTCCATCCTGCACCTACCCACCCATCCCTCCTCCATCCCTGCATCCTCCCATCCACTGAGCCATCCAATCTGGACCTAGGATTGACTTCACGCAGGCACTGGGGATACATCAGCCAATGAGGACAAAGTCCCCGGCCTTACAGAGGCTAGGCCAGAAGACACACACAAGCGAGCAGATGCAGTAACACAACACGGCCCACGGGCTGGCTGAGGGCTGGGCTCAGGTGGTCATTCTCTCCCAGGGGGGCTTCCAGAGCTGCCATTTGGCTTCTCATGGTTTTCATATTCCTGACAACTCAAAACATGGAATTTTCTAAAACTCTGTTTGGCCACTCCATTCTGGGAAGAGACCCGTGTTGGGAGCAGATTGGTGTGATTTCACGACTGTAATGTGGATTTCGGGGATAGAATATACCACAGACTCGAGATTCCCCAGAGACGGGCCACACCTGTAACCTGAGCCACACTCACCACCTCTGCACAGGGCCCATTCTCTCAGCTCCTAGGAGGACTGCCCACTCCCCAAGGTGGGGTCCAGCTCAGCAGAGGGGAGACAATTGCTGTTATGAGGCCCCAGCTACGGATTCCCCTGTCTTGGCTCCCCGCACCCTTGCTCTGGATGACTTCCTTCATACCCGTGACCTCGAATACCATCATCATCAGCCGACGGCTCTAATTCTGTAGCTTCGGCCGGACTTGCACTCGTATGCCCACCTGCTAGTTGATGGACAACCTCAACGTAATGCATCCAACGTGGAGCTCATTCATCCCTTGTCCCCAGATGTGCGCTCCCTCTCTGCCCTACTCAGAAAATGCTGCCTTTATCTAACACAAGAGCCAGGAGTCACCTGTGACCTCTGCCTTTCCTCCCCCTCCCCCTCAGTCCGCCACTAAGCCCACCCTCATCTCAGCCCACTCACTCCCTCCCTCTAGGCCGCCCTCCAGCCTCTTAAACTTGCCTATGCTTTTTGCATTTCTGCCCACTGTTTCCTCAAAGAGGCTGATCAAAGCCTTCCCTGCCTCCCTGTTTCCCATCACTGCACCATCTTCATTTCCTCTATAAGACTTACTACAATTTGTAATTATCTGTTTACTTGCAATAATCATGAGTTGTCTGCCTCCCCCACAGGCCTGGGTCTTCCCAGGGACCCTCTCAGTCTTATTTATTCACCACTGGGGCCCAGGCCACAGGCGTGGTATAGATACTGCTGAGTGAATGAACAAATGAGTACAAGGTACCCACAGAGGCTGGTATTGGCCTCCTGAGCCCTTGGCAGAGGGCATAATGCCGCTGAGATGGCATTACCTGCTGGGGCACCTTAAAACGGACGTAGGAGCAGAGCTGGAGCATTTCACCCATCTCTTCCGGGGTAGACGGAATCAAGGGGATCTTCTCTACGGCGACCGTGTCCTGCAGTTCTTTGAGCCGTTGTATGAACTGATTATCCGTTGAGTACTGCAGGCCTATGGGACTCAAACCAAAACAGCTTGGCAATGTGTCCACCTCCTCACCGGCCCCCATTTGGCAAAGGGAATCTCCACTCTCAGCCCAGAGTTAATATATTTCAGGTGTTCTCACCAGTAGTTTTTTTTTAACTGGCACATCCATCCTTGCTCAAAGTCAAAACCATACTCTTGAGGAGCACAAAAAAAATCCTTCGGGATATTATAAGAATTGGTTATGCAAACTGCGGTTCATGGACTAGGAGTATCGGAGCACATATGAAAGGCAGAATTTCAGCCCCCTCCCTTAAGTCTCCTGAACCCACTTTAACAAGTCGGGGGATTCATACGTATGCCAGAGTTTTAGAAGCATCAGTCTAGAAGACAGCTGCTGGAGCCCTGTCATGCCTGTATCACTGAGGAAATACAGAACAGCAAGAAAGCACAGGGCCAGAGTGACTGCACGCCTACCCCCTTAGTAATGTCTCACTTGGGGTCAATCCGTAAAGCTCAAAGTCAAGTGCGAATGAGCCCCTTCCAAGCTGTCCCCCACGGTGGGGCAGTATGCCCTCCCCACGGCTCCTCTCCCTGCAGGAGGGCACGAGGCAATCACCGAGTCCAAACAGCTTCAAGCTGGACCATTATTTCCTCTCACCCTGCAGCACAACACGAGGGGCACACAAACTGATGTACATGGAGGGCAAAACTAATGTTCCCTTCCGACTGAGCAAATATTGAGGGTTTGACTTAGCTGGAGAGCTAGATTTTAGAAAGAAAGGCATGGCATCATACTCTGCTGCAGAAGCCCACACTTCATAAATCTCCAATATTCAGCAAGCCCTTTAAACATAGCATGGGTACCGTGTGGGTTTCACGATGCCCTGGGGCAGATTACAGGATCTACTTCTTTGTACTTTAAGAATAATCCTAAACTAAATGTCACATGGTATCCCGGGCTGGATCCTGGAACAGAAACAAGACACTAGTGGAGAAACTAATGAAATCCAAGCAAAGCCTGGAGTTCAGTTTAACAGTAATGGACTGATGTTTGCTTCTTGGTTATGACAAACCGCCTGGTAACGAACGTGAGCTGTGGCCAATGGGAGAAACTGGGTGGAGGCTCAATGGGATTCTCTGCACTATCTTTGCCACATTTCCATAAATTTCAAATTATTTCAAAGTAAAAGACATTTATCTTTTCATTTACACATACAAGCAAACTTGATTTTAAATGTCCAACTGAAACTCAGGTGTAAAATTCTTCTCTGGGCAAATGAACATACGCTCAAAAAAGCCAGTCAGATCTCACCTTCCATAAGTGATTTAAAAGGAATAAACTTCCATAAGGGCTGTAACTCCAATTCTATCTTTATTATTGAAAGAGCGAGTGATTTCAGACATGGTGCTTGGGCAAAGAAGAGAAAAGCCTTCGGCAGCTCACCTTCAATTACGATATTCTTAACAGACCTGACAACTACTGGCTTTCAGAGTGACTATGACTTCGAAGGTCAATTTAGTTACGTTTCACAGAAGGTGTACTTCTCTGACTCACGGCTGGGCTCTCCTGGATAAAGGAGGTGGTGGATATGACTATATAAAGGAGGTAGTGAATCTAAAAGGACTTCCAAAAAGCCATAGTTTGGGTTCTGCAGTCAGACAGTCTAGGATGGGTTCCTATCCTGGCACAAATGAAACTTCCTTGTGCCTCAATGTTCCCACCTATAGAATGGGCATACTATCTTGGTCCAGATAGACATTACATATGTAAAATGTCATCGAGATGTACACTTAAAATCTGTGCAATTTACTATGTGTAAATCACACTCCAATAAAGTACCAGAAGAGAGAGAAAGATAAGGAAAAAGACAAAAAAAATTAAGATTTTTTTTCTCTCACACATTTGTAAATCCAAGTTTGAAGACCTTGTAAGAAAAATACATTTTAAAAATCCAACCTCAGACTGTAATTTATGGGGATATTTTACAGCTCAAGTTGCCATGTGTACATACAAGAGCAGAAAAACTAAAATTGGTGATTTTTTATAAGAAGATATTCTCTAACCCAGGATAAAGATCTCTGGATTTTCAGCAAAAACAGAGGCATAATAATAGTACCTTCATCTCATAATGTTATGGCAAGAATTAAATCCATATAAAGACATCAGCTTATAAGAACTCAATTGTGTCAGATGTTAATATTATTATATTTCCAAGTATTTATATGCTGCAAAGTACTACACACATCTTAATTAATCACCTCAAATCCTTGGTGGAACAAGGCTGGCTCTATATTTTAAAGTCAGTATGGTGATGATTATGGTTATACCACTACTATTTGGTTATTTATCACAAAGCACAACATATCTCTAAAATAGACATCAAAAAGAATATTCTAAAAAGCGGTCATGGCAGACACTGCTACTTGTTCCTTTAGAGAGTCAGACCCTGCTGTGCTCAAGCCTCTCAGAGGGTTATTTTAGCCTCGTAACTCACCAGCAGGGCACACGAGGGAGAGGCTGCAGATATCCGATGGGTAGTAAGCAGCGTACACTCCGGCCACATGGCCACCCATGGAGGTGCCTATCAGGTGGAAGGGTTTTTTGTTCAGCTTAAGGCATTCCACAAACTAGGAAGGGAAATGAGAAGAAGGCTTTGTTACAGAGCTCTAGGCAGTGACAGTGGGATAACAGAGCAGACACCTCTACACTTCCTATGGGCACAACAGAAAGGGGGCTGAAATCGACTGGACCCATTATCCAGGCAAGTCCTGGGGCATAATCTTCTCTTTACTTGGCACAGTTGATTGGGGAGTCGTTTGTAAGTATAAAACCCATAAAGATTCCTCAAATCCCTGAGTCAGTACACTTTTCTATAAAGGTCCTGACAGTAAGTATTTTCTGCTCTGTGGGCCATACAATCCCTGTAGCAACTCCTCAGCTCTGGTGCTGTGGCCCAGAAACAGTCAGAGACAACACATAAATGAATGAGCATACCGTGTTCCAGGAGAACTTAGCTTACAAAAACAGGTGGCAGGCCAGCTATTGTCCAGGGGCCATGGTTTACTGCCTCTTGTGCTAATTTAAATCCCTTCCCATCCATCCAACCATCCATTCACATAAATATCCACCCATCCATCTGTCTATTTGACCTCCATCCAACTATCCATCCATCTGCAAGGAACTACAGTCAGTTGCTGAGGATACAGCAAAGACCCAAGGAACAAGGCTCCTGACCTCATCAGAACACATAGGTTAATGTGGGGAGAAGGGAGTGCATATGTTAAATATCTTCGTCTGAGGAAAATACCAAATGTCAATTTAAAACTTCTGGGCTCCTAAATTCTGAAATAGTTCATAAACCCCATGACCTTGAAAGCCCAGCCAGAGGCAGGCTGACGATAGATGCTAAAATAGCACAAAATGCAAACAGCAGCCTGCCCATCCTCCACACCTAGGCAGAGGGGCCGTTGCCAAGTTGGGATCTTCATGTGGCTGGTAAGCAGAAAAGCAGGCTCTAGGGAAATGGTCTTGAGGAATGCTACACTCCTTTTTCAAAGAACTCAGAAAATGCCCAGATCATTTTTCTTTAGAAATAACTGCAACAGGCTTAAAGGAGAACAGTCTGCCGGGAGTCCTGGCACTCCATAGCTGACCAACGATGCCACTGGGGTGCCGACGCGTCTGCAGTTCCTTGCAGACAGAATGCACTACAGACCACTTCCAAGTCCCTATGGGGCTCTGATGCTGGGTGAGACCCAGTCGGGGCAATTTCTGGTGGCGCCTCCTGCTTACCTGGTGTATCCTCTTGACTTGCCCGTCTATGGACAAGTCATCCAGGGAGGAGCGGGTGGTGCCCTCATGTCCTGGCATGTCCACGCAGACCAAGTGCAGGTTCTTCGGAAGGAACTGAGGACACACAGGACGCCCAGAGATCAGAGTGTGTGTGTGGAACATGTTGGCCCATGTTCCTGGGGAGGCTGCCCCGATTTACCAAGCGACCTGGACAGCCATCCCCGAGGACCGTCTTACCCTAGTAAGACAATAACTGCTGATGTGAATAAGCACTGCCAGTAGCCTCAGAGGACCACAGCCCCCCAAAGACTGGCACACAGATGGAAGGGGACCCTGGGGCTGACTGGAAAAGGGGGACAAGATCAGGGGAGCAGGCTTGGTTCTCTCACTCTTTGACGCCAGCTGACAGGTACTACCTCCCTTCCCTCACCTCGTCCACACTGACTCCAGTCGTGCAGCCTCTGACCCGGAACTAGAAGGGAGGGATCTGCCCTCCAGAGCCCTGGCCGGCTCCAGAGCTCACAGGAGCAACGCCTGCCTAAGAACCACGCCTGACCACCCTGATTCCGGTGTCAACATTTTTTTTTTTTTGTAGTAAGGTCTAATTTCTGGAGTGATTATTATCCTAAAACCCCTTCTTCCATTTAAATACATGCCACTTTTAACTAAGAAACTGAGAAACCTCAGTGATCAATGAACAAACATCTAGTTTTATGAAAGGTGCTTCTCTGAGGTGGAAACAAGAAGTGAGAGGTTCAGAGGGTGACTGTCCTCACCCTGGAATTACAACCACCTCCAGGCTGGGTGAGCCTCGTCCTCCTGCTCTGCATCACCCTTGCGCCATGCAGGTAGGGTCCTGCTCGAGGTGGGAGTCCAGGGTGCTTCCCTGCCAAGACCCCTCCCAGCCCCAGCCGTCACCTGCTGGCCTCTTTTCCCCAGCAAAGCAAGTTGCCACACCCAAGTAAACCAGGGCAGAAACTGGTTTGGAAAACTATCCCGGGAAGTTGCCAGATCAAAATCATTTCTCTAACTGGCTAAGGGAAAAAAAAAAAGGCAGAAGAGAGGGAGATGAAGAAAAGGAGGGGAAGGAGGACAATGAGGGGCAGGAAGAAGAGGAACGGGGCACAAAGGAGCTTTATAAACCCAATCTTGACAGTCATGGCAGTTCTGAGATGAAGTTCAGCATCAGAAACCTTCCCTGAGGAATATTCATGCGAAATGATTTCCAAGGCCCAGATTGTACACATGACATTCAACTCAGTGAATTCTGTCTGGTAAAAGGATTCAGATAATATACCGAATTTCACCTAATATAAACTAAATATATAATAAACTAATATAACCTAAGTGTGATTAGTTTTAAGATGACTTGGGCCATAGTTCTGGGTTCCCTCTGCTTTCTACCATTGTTGACATCATGTCCCAGTGGAAACCCTTTTCCTTCCTGAGAAAGAGGAATGTAGAACTGCACCTTGACCACACTGAGCCACATGTCCTTGTGCGCCGAGAATCCATGGAGCATGAGGATGGAAGGTCTGTGCCCAGGCCTGCCCCGGAAGGAATAACAGAACTGATAGTCTTCGTGGCGCACGTAGCAGACTTGCATGCCCAGTGCCCTCCGCCAGTACCTAGGGGGGAAGATAAAGGCGGGTAAAGATCAGGGTGTTCGGGAGCGCACAGGTCCCCTCGCATTACGACCGCACTTCTCCCACATAGGTCTCTGGAGTGTCCCAGAGCTTCACCTTCAAGGGCCACTAAGAGAAACCCTTCCAGAAAGCACCTTAAATGAATATTCCAGGATGCATTTTATAATCATTCTGACTAGGAAGGGGCAAAGGGGTGTTATTTTTTTGACACATAATAACCTCTTATGAATATACATATGCCTAGCAGTTCAAATCATGGTTGTTTGAAGGAGTAGGCAGCGGGGTCTCCCTGGGTGTGTGACCAGTCCTTTCTCTGCCTTGCTTGTTGGAGCTTCGGCATAATTCAAGAAGGCTGGGAAGGACTCTGGACAGGCCAAGACAAAGGTGGTTTCCCCTTGCAGAGGCCAGCATGCAGTTCCTGGTGGGCCGATCTGCGGACACAGCAATCTAGAATGAGCAGCCATGGCCCAGTCGGTATGGCTGCTACAGCGTGCAGTGCAGCCATGCTGGAGTAAGAGCCTCACTCCAGAGGTGCTTAAACTGGCAGGAAAAGCATCAAACGACTTACAGGTAAAGCGTATTACCCTTCGTAACTTGCAGTTTGCTCTCTGCGGAGCTGAAGGATTGGAGGCTCTCCACAAGGCTATGGGTGCTGGAGGTGGGGTCATTCTGGGCACCCACACTCTCCGCTTGGGAGGAAGGGACACATGGGACTGTCTAAAGGACACCTGGTCCTTCCAACCTCAGGACCCTAAATACTCTAACAGCTGTCCAGGGCTGCTGATGCAAGTGGCCTGTACCTCTGTGAAAAAGACATTTCTGCCTTTTTATGTAATTCTCTGTGAGCAAGCTGGAAGTTTAATTAGCTTTCTAACCAACCAGATTTCTGCATCTGAGTCTTAACCATGGAAGAGTTATTAACCATCAAAGAAGCTACTGATACTGAAGTAGTGGATGTTGATTGACTTGGCCATTTTTTTAAAAATCTGGCTTTGTGATACATAGTAACGAACATTTGGTTTTGCACAGACATTATGTGCACTCAGGTGGAATATATATACTTTTTTTTCTTTTTTTCCCCTGGAGATTTTGAGAGTGAGAACTTGTTTCTTAAGAATTGTCTGCATCAGTCCCCTGGTTTTATTCCTTACAACATATGGCAGCTGCTTTGATAGTTCAGCTTTGGTTGGTTATGTAAGACTTGGCAGTGCTAGAGTTTGGCCTGAAATCGATTTCAATATGAAGTCACCATCTAAACAACCTGAACTCTCTGCTTGAAGAATCTCTCCAAAATTAAAGACAATTAAGTAAATCAGAAATTCATTCAGCTAAGTGTTGCACAAGCAAATAGCTCAAACTGACCAGTTTTAACCCTTTGTGTAAAGTAACAGGAGAAGGGGGATGAGGATATATATTCGTATTTACTTGTGTCTACATACAGAAAGCATGGGAGCATAAACAAGATTTTGGGGTGCACCTCGGGAGTGGAGGTGGGGAACACAGTGAGAAGTAAGCAGAGAGCATAAGGTGGTGGGAGGGAGAACTTTTATCATGTTCCTTTTTCAGGGAATGTACTGCTTATTCAAAAAATTAAAAATATAATAAAATTGGCTAGCTTACAAGCTCTTCTTATGACAAAGCAAGCATAATTCAAAATTCCAAACCATGGCACCATAATATGACTCTGTTCATTCATTCATATCCCAGCTTGTTCATTTACTGACTATATGATCTTGAACCTCAATATAATATAGGGAAAAGCTGACTTCTACTGAGGGTGTGGGAAAGATTAAGTGGGATAATCCAAGTACAAAGTAATTTTGCTCAATGCCCAACACCTGGTAAGTTTTTTCAATAAACGGTAGTCATTAGTATTATATTAAAAAGATTCTATCTTTCAAACCTATTATTTGCCAGATTCAAAGGGAAAACTGCAGAAATTCTTGCAATAAATTTGACAGCCACAGATTGATATCTTTAACATATAAAAACCTTACAGATTGATATGAAACAAGCTAAAACCCCAGTGTAACACTGGGCAAAATAAACAAAAAGATTACTCAGAGAAGGAAAGATATTAACAACTAACACAGAAAAAAATGTTCAACTTCACAAATAATTAAAGAAATGAATCACAAAATACACTTTATGAAATTTTCTAAATTAGAAAAGTGCCTTAAAAAAACAATTACAATGGCCACTCTTTCTAGAAAGCAATCTGGATTAAACAACAGGAGTCTTTAAAGCCTCATGCCCTTTGACCTAGTCACTATACTTCTAGAAATAATGCGTCTCAAGGACATAAGCAGAAATGTTGAAAAAAAATTTATTTCTAAAGATGTCTAAGACAGTCTTACTTAAGTTAGAATAAAAATCAGTACCAACCTTCATGTCCATAAATACAAAATTTATGACATACATTACAATGTATCCAGATAATGTAGTATTTTGCTGTTATTAAAAATGAAACTTTCTAAGAATATTCAATAACATAGGAAAATGTTTATGAAGTAATATTGAGTGAAAAAAGTAAGAGCCAAGTTTTTTATATTATTGATTCCAATTCTGTTAAAAATTTTTTTTTAACTATACACAGATGAGGTGGGAAAGACAGCAAGAATAAAAGGTATTGGAGGAAGTGACCCAAGGAGTGCTTGATAATTTATGTTTGCTCTCTGCTGCCTTTTTTGAACCTTCAAATTCCCCACCACTCTTACACAAAGTACAGGACGAAATCAAGGAAGGGCTGGAAGGACCTTGTGGAAAAGGTGAGGTTTGAACAGGCCCTGAATGCTCAACACATCTTAGCTGGAGACATGGAGAAAGGTGTGCAGGTGGGCACAGAGGAGGCCAGGGTGGGGGTGTGACAGGCGTGAGCTGAGTCCACCAGGGCCAAGGGAGGCGAGGCTGGGGGAGCAGCCTGTGAGGCTCAGGAACTGAGGACACCACCAGCGGAGCTCTTTGGTCCTACTTGATGTTTTTCACTGAATTGGTACCTCGACTGGAAAATACTACCGCGGTTTTGAAAATAAGGAGCTAGAGAACCAATATTTTCACTAATTACAAATGATCCTTTCAATGAATGCGTAGGAAAAAGACTCCTTAAGCTACCAGGTCAGCTAAAAAATAATGAAAGACCAATGCCGCAGACGGGGTGGGGGGGGAGAAAAAACACAAACCCAACTTCTTTGGTACAAGGATAACAGAGAATAAATTACCTCTAAATCATAAACATCACAAAGGCAGAGATTAGAAACAGCTGCAAGCTTACAGAACAGAAACAAAGAGAAGAATTATACTGAGATGAACAAGCATCTCAAGCAAGATCTCTTACAGACAGATGACCTTGGTATAAAAGCAGAACTGCTCTGGTTCCAGGGAAAGCAGTCATTGAAAAATCCACCGCCCTAAGATATAGAGAAACCCCCCAAAAAAGCCTCTTTACAGTTCCTCTTGGAGAAAGGTTCCTAGGCTCCAGATCATTCAACCACAAGTCTCACCACCTCTGGTTCACAGGAACCTCTAAAGAAAAGTACTTACACGTTTCTTTTTGATTGCACTAAAATATGCGTAACATAAAATTAATAACCGTTTTAAGTGTACAGTTCAGTGTCATCGAGCCCTATGGCAACGCTGAACATCACCCACCGCTACCATCCATTTCTAGAACTTTCTCATCAACTCAGAAGTTCTGTACCATTAAACAGCAATGCTCCATACTCCTCTCCCCTCACTAGGACCCTGGTAATCTTAATTCTACTTTCTGTCTGAGTGGGTTTGCCTATATTCTATGTGATGCATATAAGCAGAATTACAGTACGTGTTCTTTCGTGTCTGGCTTCTTTTACTCAGCATGTTTCCAAGGTTCATCCATGTTGTAGCAGATCTTCATTCCTTTCTATGGCTGAATAACATCCCATGGTATGGACAGACCATATTTTGTTTATCATTATTATTTGGGCTCTCCTTGTGGTGGGGAGGGCTATTGTGAATAATGCTATGAACGCTGGTATCTGTTTTGAGTCCCTGCTTTCAGTTGTTTGCAGGTATATACCCAGAAGTCAGAACTGCTGGAACGTATGGTAATTCTATGTCTGACTTACTGAGGAACCAGCCAAGTTTTCCATAGCAACTGTACCATTTTACATTTCCACCACTCATGCACAAGGTTCTAATTCTCCTACACCCTCACCAACACGATTTCCCATTTCGTTAGTTTTTTAGTAACAGCCATCCAAATGGGTGGGTGGTAGTATATCATTAAATTTTATTTATTTAATCTCTGGAGCACGACCAGCTCATTTCCACAGCAATGTAGGCTATGGATACTCCCGCAGGAAGCGCCAAACGCTTTTTTGTGAGTTTATTACATTTCACCAGAAAAACCTGCTGGGATTTTAAATGGGTGCACATTGAATCTTAGGTCATCACAGGTGAATCTAACATCTCCATGATAGTTGTCCAACTCACAACTACTGTCTATCCCTCCATTAATGTAAGTCTTTCTAATTGCTGAATATAAGATACTTTGTAATAATTTTCTGTGTAGAGGATTTCCACATTGTTCTTTAGGTTTATTCTTAAGTATCTTATATTTGTTGATACTATGGTAAATGCCTATCATTACAATTTTCTTTGTTGCTCTTATCTAAGAATATAACTGATTTTTGTTTATTTATCTTATATTCAGCAATCTTGCCAAATTCACTTAGTAAATCTAACAAATTATCCATAGATCTCCTTGGACTTCCTATGTACACAATCATGTCATCCGCATACCATGTCAGTTTTATTTCTTTTCAATTCTTATCCCTTTTTTCATTTTTCTCTCTCTTATATTTATGATTTCTTATATTGATTTCACAACTGAGTTTGAGAAAACAAAAATCTTCTAAAAATGTCTGTCTTTCACATCCTGTGAACAGTCTTCATTATTTTGCACTGCGGAAATCAGAGGTGCCCCTGATGTCACCCACAACGGCTGCAGCGTCTCAAGCCGAGGCTCTCTGCTGACTCCTGGCAAAGCATCTGGCACCCCCCACAGGCGCAACCAGAGCCCACATTGCTATGGAAACGGGCTGGCCGTGCTCCCAGGACAGACTCCTGGAGAGCGCTGCTCTGAACACTGGCTGCGGCCGACCAGGGACACCTGTGCCTGCCTATGCCTGCCCCCTAGGGAGCTCAGAAGATCCGAGAGGAAATAAGGAGAGGGCCTGAAGTGATGGTTCCACCTCCCCGCTGCTCACAGGGCAGGGCAGCCTGGGTGTCTGGGATGCCCGCTACCTACCTCTACTGCCTGCTGTTCCTATTCCCGTGTAACCCTGCAAATTAACCTGACCAACCTCCATGTGCGGGGCGAACCCAGTATGGGCAGTGGAGCAAATGAAGGCCTTTTGGAAGGGTACCTGCAGTTAAGGAACATACGTGACTCCTGGTCAAGCTGCTCATCCTGACGACCACTGTGTAAATGTCACCTGCAGGGAGGCGATTGGAAGACAACAGGCTGTGCATCTCCGCGGGGTGGGAGAAAACAGCCCCAGGATTCTGGCAGCTCTCTGCAACAGCATCTCAGGTTCTAGGACTCTCATCACGATCCCCTACGCCACAGTGCTCCCTGGCACAAACCAAAAGGTTTTCTAGGATTTCATCCTCCCTGACCAGCTGGTTTTCTTCTTGGCCTGCATACTGAGGTCATAACAGAAAGACGACAGTGTCCTCCGGCCACAGTTCTGAGCTGAGGGACAGGCATCGGCAAGCGTTAAGATCACACAGATATCACACGCATCTGTACCGTCCACCAACTCGGAACTGAATGCTCCGCTCTGCGAGGCCCCTCTGGGTCTTGGTGGTGTGTTATCTGTTACTAAAAGCGAATTGTTTGCTATGTGGTATTTAGTCACAATAGCCAAAAAGTGGAAACAAGGCAAATGTCTGTTTGGATAAACATGATGTGGAACACCATACAATGGACTCTTATTCAGCCAAAACAATGAATGAAGTACTGACACATGTGACACCACGGACAAACCTTGAGAACATGCTAACTGAACGGGCCCAGACAGAAAAGGCTGCAGATTGTATGATCTCACTGATATGAAGCAGGCAAATCCGAAGGGACAGAGTGCAGTACTCGCTACCAGAGGGTGAAGGGAGGGGGACCTGGGAGTGACTCCTAAACAGGAGCGGGTTTTTTTTGAGGAGATGGAAACACGCTGGAATTAGATAGTGGTAATGCTTGCACAACACTGTGAATACATTAAATGACTGAATTACACTCTTTAAAATGGCATATTTTGTTATGTGAACTTTAACTCAATAAAAAAGTGAATGATTTGCTATAAAGTTATTTTTCTCTTTAAAGATCAGATGGCTGAATTATCCTGACACTCTGACTCCGAGAGCCTTCTCCCGGAGGGCCCAAGGAACTTTGGGGTTGGGGGGCACGTGGTGGGTGGAATTAGTCTTTATATAATCACCCCCCCCATATGCAGCCATATCCATGGCTACAGGCCACATCACTCAACTCCAGTCTCTGCACCGATTTGATTTAAGAAGAATGGCATTTCTGTGTGGAGGTCCACGGTGCCTCTGCAGGGCCACAGGGGGCACCGGACTCTGGCCTCTCTGTCCGCAGCCACACAGGCGCCTGGGCCCCAAAGCACTACAGGGACAACTGGAGCCAGGCAACCGGAGTCTCAGCTTCATCGATGCAGAGGTGGGTGCTAGGCGACCCTCTGAAGGGGTCACCACCCCATGACACCGAGAAAGGGAAGGATAAAAAGCTCCCTTCTGTTCAATTAGCTTCTTTTCAAGAATCAGAGCCTGGCTGGCAGGCGGAGAATTCCCCTCTAATGCAGCAAATGGAGCCGGGAGGGAGGGCAGATCAAGTGCTCCAACACCATCTCCCTGAGTTCTCTCTGTGCACAGAAGCCTGTTCCAGGTGTTTCCGTTCAGTCTCACTGTGCTTACTGACCTACAGCACAGAGAAGAGCCAGTGCTATTTCAGTATTTCCTGCACTACGGCAGGGGGGAGGGGTCATTTTATTTGGTGAACAGACCGTGGTGTGACAAGTCCCTTAGGCCCATCATGAGAAAGCTACTCCCTGTTCAACTGCTGACCTTCTGATGCCGTCAAGGAGAAAGACTCCATTCCAGGCTGCTGCATCTCTCACACCTTACACTTTGCAACAGAGAGAAAGGAGACCCTGAGTGGTGGGCTACGACGTAAGAATATTGCTTGATGGCACTGGGCTCATTTTTACTCTTTTTTAATTTACTATTTATGGCAAGTATGGTAAGCTTTGTGCTCAAGGCAGTGCTATTTATAGCACTCAAATTGATTTAAGGTTAAGAACAAAAACAAAACATGTGTCTTTACCCTAAAGAAAAGACAGAGAAAAGGACAGGTGGTATGTAAAGAAGGCAAGAATCAGAAAGGTGATCCAAGAATGACAGAAACTTTGGAAATGTCCTTTCTGTCACTTCTAATGAACACTTCTAGAATAAATCTAAAGCCACCCTGTCCTGCCCATGCCATCTCCACGGCCCTGCTCTTTCTAGTTCAGTTCTCAGCACACATCACCCCGCCTGCCGGGACATCACTGGATCAGAACCTGGCAGCCAAGAAGATACCAAAGGTGATTCCATAAACATGCATAGCCCTTGCCTGAGGCAGAATCAGGGACTCTGCGAGTGAGGGTGGCCTGCTGGGCAAAGATACCCCCGAAACCTGAAAGAATTTACCTGGGGAAGAGCTACCGCTAATTCTTCAAGAATATGCCCCAAATTCAAAAAAGGATGCCTCTCAGCTATTCTGTGTGTTTGAAATATTTCAGGATAAAATGTCCAAAAACAACTAAAGAACAAGCAGAGAGGATGACATTATTATGCATCTTGAGAGTCTCAATTATAAAATTAACTTACCAGTAATAGATTTTTATCAGCGCCGAAGGCCACAGGAGAAACGAGGCTACAAATGCCAGGATTGGAATGGCCAGTGTCCCCCCAGCAATCACAAACAGGTTGACCACGTCGAGATCCATCCTGTGCTTTCAGGCTGCCTGATGCCTGCAGGGCAGAAGAGAAAGGGCACTTTTTTTTTAAGCTATAAAATACAGTATTAGGACAACTGGGAAAATCTGAGTAAAGGCTGGATACACTGTTGTATCAGTGACAGGATTCTTCAGAGTGATGATGAAACTGCAGTCACATCTGTACGTAAGAGGATGTCCTTGCTCTTACAAAATAAGTAGTGAAGTGTAGTGATATCTGCTACACATTTTTAAAAGTTGATGAGGAAAAAAAAATGCATGTGCATGTGTTGGTTCAGGGAGAGGAGAGAGAGATAAAGTGAATATGGTCATTGTTAACCACTGGTTAATCCGACTGAAGGTTACATATTGTACTTTCAACTTTCTTACAGGCTTGCAGTTTTTAAAATTAAAAGTTAGGGAGGACAGAGGACCTGAAAGAAATTTTAAAAATATATGTGTACAATGGCAAAGGACACCATCAACAGAACAAAAAGGCATCCTACAGTATGGGAGAATATATTTGTAAACAACATATCTGACAAGGGGTTAACATCCAAAATATATAAAGAACTCACACACCTCAACACCCAAAAAGCAAATAACCTGATTAAAAAATGGGCAGAGGATATGAAGAGACAATTCCCTAAAGAAGAAATTCAGATCACCAACAGAGACATGAAAAGATGCTCCACATCACTAATCATCAGGGAAATGCAAATTAAAACCACAATGAGATGTCACCTCACACCAGTTAGGATGGCCAGCATCGAAAAGACTAGGAACAACAAACGCTGGTGAGGATGGGGAGAAAGGGGAACGAACCCTCCTACACTGCTGGTGGGAATGTCAGCTAATTTAACCATTGTGGAAAGCAATATGGAGGTTCCTCAAAAAACTAAAAACAGAAATACGATTTGACCCGGGAATCCCACTCCTTGGAATTCACCCAAAGAATGCAACTTCTCAGATTCAAAAAGACATATGCACCCTTCTATTTATCGCAGCACTATTTACAATAGCCAAGATGTGGAAGCAACCTAAGTGTCCATCAGTAGATGAATGGATAAAGAAGATGTGGTACATATACACAATGGAATACTATTCAGCCATAAGAAAGAAAGAAATCCTACCATTTGCAACAACATGGATGGTGCTGGAGGACATTATGCTCAGTGAAATAAGCCAGGAGGAGAAAGACAAGGGCCAAATGATTTCCCTCATTTGTGGAGTATAACAATGAAGCAAAATTGAAGGAACAAAACAGCAGCAGATTGACAGACTCCAAGAAGGAACTAGCGGTTACCAAAGGGGAGGGGTGTGGGAAGGCAGGGAGGGAGGGAGGGAGAAGGGGATTGAGGGGTATTATGTTTAGTACACATGGTGCGAGGGGTCACAGGGAAGACAGTGTAGCACAGTGAAGGCAAATAGCGACTCTGTGGCATCTTACTACACTTATGGACAGTGACTGCAATGGGGTATAGGTGGAGACTTGATAACATGAGTGAATGTACTAACCACATTGTTTTTCATGGGAAACCTTCATAAGAGTGTATATCAATAATACCTTGGATGGAAAAAAAAAAGATAAAAATAGAAAAAAAAATAGGTGTATGCATGAATGCTTATATGCACAGAAAATATTACCAGACAGATGTATTAAAAAAAAAAATGGTCCATCTAAGGTGGGGAGACAGGTAGCTGGGTATCATGATAGAGGGAGACCTGCTTTTCACTGTCCACCTTTTAAAAATCTTTCGGTTATGTATCATATATATATATATATAGCCTATTCAAAAATAAATAGCATTCAATAAAGAGTTAGGAGGGAACAATCAAAACAGCAGAGTTCAGTGTACTTTCTGCTGTCTTCCCGAAGACCTGCCAGACACAGAATATCAGCACCGGGGGAGAAAGTGTCCCCAGCACCTAGACTAGGGCCAGACACATTTCTACGCGCTCTAGAAATCACAGCTGAATCAGAAGCCCCGGCTCAGTCCTGTCTCAGAAGCGTACAACGTAGTTCACTTTTTCATGTAATGAACAATATTTCAAGTCGAATTATCCTCTGCAATCAAGAAAACATCTCGGGTGAGGACATGAGGCAGGTGTGGCCCTCCGCCACCTAAGGATTCCCAGCCACCTGTGTTGTGTGCATTTCATCCAAACAAAAAGGAGGCTTCTTCAGAAAAAGCAGTAACTTCTAGCAGATCATGACCTTCCTTTTATTTGCTGTGGAGTGGAGTGATCCCTCCCACATATCTCTGTCAACCAATATGTATTTCAGTTGTATAATGAGCTCATGATGGCACAGTTTGACCTCACAAACATTGAGCGCGGAGGTTGGCAAGCTTTTCCGAAAAGGGCCAGATGCTAAATATTTTGTAGGTCATAGGTTCCCTGTCACAACTACTTAACCTGCCCCTGTCGTGCGCTGGCAGTCAAACACAACCTGGAATGAATGGGTGTGACTCTACTCTGATACAAGTTCATGTTTAAAAATGAGTTGTAGGCGGACTTTGGGCTGTGGGCTGAAATTGGCCAACCCTCGCCATGGCACGCCAACCTGGTCCAACAGGCAGGTTTGATCCTGTTTCACGGGCTGAGGAAACTAAGATGCAGAGAGGTTCAGTGACTTGCCTGGTCATTCAGCTGGTAGAGTCTTAATTCTAAAATCTGATTATAAAACAGGTTTCTGACTTGGACTCACTCCCTCTGCACCAAGTTCCACTTTGTCCAACATTTTTCGAATGCCCTTTCCTCGATCTTTGTGACCTCTTTGCCCCTTCTGAGGAACACTGTCTGTCTCTGATTCAACTCGCCTCTCAGTTTCTCAGGCACCGTAAACACTTTTTCCAGCCCCCTGAAATCACTGGCCTATTTCTCCTTCTAGAACCAGAGCTCCTTGAGGGGAGGGACAACCACAATGTTCTTGCTCAGTGCATAGAACAGCACAGGACACAAATAAGGTACCGATGAATTAATGAAAAGCAATGTTACAAAACAGGCTCAATCCTGTTTCTTTGAGGGCCGATTCCCAATGATGCTGAAAGAAACCTGACTTTTTCTTCTCAGTAGTTACAAAACTCCCCAGAGGAGTCACCTGTTTAACATTGGGTCCAATTTATGATGCTGAAAGGCCTCACTCACTGTCAGGGTGTCAGCAGATTAACCACAGAGTGAAGGGAATTTGACAAATCTGTTTGAACGTTGTGGGTCCCAAAAAGAGTTGATGAAGATAGGACACACACAGTCAGCTTCTAGAGGATTTTTCCACATCACAAAGCCTTCCAGAACTATTGAGGGTTGCCATGAATTCTGACTCCAGAGATGCAGGAAGATAATTACATGACGTTCCCTTGGACTAGGGGTTAGAACACTGGGTGCGCAAGGCCGTACGTATCAGACCCCGACACCGGCGATGGCAGCCCAGGTGTGAAGGCTTCTCATGGCTTTGTCAGCACCTGCTGTGCACGTCACAGTCTGTTTGGGGAAGGGTTTCATCTGGCTCCATCTTCCATTCAACAGCAGAATGAGGTCTCCAGGAAAGTGCTTTTGTAGAACACGATCAACTCAGCAAGGCTTGGACGTATTACAGAGAAGCCTGCACCCTTTCCCTGATGAGGTCGAACACAGACAGGCCCTGGAAGAATCCTTGCTCTCTGAGTTCTCCACCAAGAGCAGGTGATTATCTCTACCTCTGCAATGCCTGACCTTTTACAAAGGACTTGCCCCAACTTCCCTTTAAAAAGGCCGCTGGGGTTTGTTGATAGGATAGCGTACATACCCAAGGGGGAGGCTGGAGACAGAAAAACCAAAGCCTTGTGAACCTGGGACCACCAGGGACCAAAAATCCACAAAGGGGTGGAACACAAAGCTTCTCAAAGGATGGGGCCCGCACAACTGTGTGCAATTTAGCTGTAGGGAGAGAATACTAAGTAATACCCCAGAGCCACACAGCACTCGCTAATGCTGACACAGCTACTGAGAAAGTCATTTCTTTTTGGTTGTTTTATAGTCCTGCTTAGGTGGAAAAGAAACACCTCAGAACAGTGTTACTAAGCAGCTCTTAGCCCTCAAGCCTCCTGCAGGCAGCAGTATCTAGTTGTTTACTAAAATTATTTCTTTGTGTTGATTTTTTACCAATACTTTCAATGTATGGTTAGGGTTGTAAATTAATTTCTTAAGTTAATTAAAGTTGAAAGGAGGAGTTAGTTTAAAGAAAAATGCTAACTAGGTGAAACAGGTATCTGATCCAGGAATGGCTGGCACCGGGCAGGTTGGCGCAACGCACGGGCACCGGGCGGGGGCCAGGCGCTCCGGCCAGCTCTCTCCTACCAGGCTCTTCCACACACCAGCTGTGAGACCTTCTTCTCCTTGTCTGTTAAAGGAGGACATTTATCCAAATCATCTCTTCTGCCCTTTCCTACACTGGTGACTCAAAACCTTTCTGAAATTATGCCAGGCAATTAAAGGGTAGGCTCTGGCTTGCCACCACGGGAATCTTATTCCCTGTTATATTTTCCCAGAACCTAACACAGTACCTTGGCAAATGCTTGATAATGCTTATGGCCTGAATAGACTGCAAAGGAAACATGCACTAATTTTATGTATCTGTTGTGTAAAGTGGGGCACCCCTGGCTAAAAACAGTGACTTCAGTGGCCTTGCAGCTCAGGAGAGCGAGGCGATGTCGGGAAGGAGAGCAGGCGGCTGTGACAACAGGGAGGGTAGGTAATACACTCGCACATCCCAGACCAGAGCCTGCCACACAGCTTCCTCCTGCTCAGATCCGAGCTGTGCATTTGCGGCCTTTGTCTCTGAACATGGGGGCAGAGATTAATTGGGTAGAAGATATGTCAGTGGAACCAGATAAATATTGCATCTTAGGTTCCCAGGCTTAGTCTGGGGTTAAGGGGATGGCATAAGGTGTTGAAATTGCCTTTGAATGTTCTCACTCATTTTGCAAACCAGGACTCCTGCGTTCCCACACCTTAATCTCAAGGTACAAAGCAAAATTTCAAGAATAATTCGGACTG